TGCAAATAATACAACCATAATCAAAGATGAAATTTGGACAGTAGAGACACATGCTTATGGTTCGTCAAACAATAAGATGATACTGGCTGGAACAAGTGTCAGGAAACAATGGACTCCTGCAGTCATTTTTCAATTGTCCTTCTTTCACCTTTCAAGGGTTTCCCATCTTCTCCTGATTTGTCCTGCATAATAAGCAGCTCTTGCCTGGGACTGACCTATGGGGTTTGCTCTATCTGGAGAGCTCTTGCTCTCGGGCTTGTGGTTGAGTGCACTCATGGAGGTAGAGTGGTCCAGGGGTTATTACCTGGGCCCTCTCTACCCCACCAGGAATGGCAGGGGCTGTGTCCACAGGAGCCTGCAGCTGCTATAAGAGGTCCCTCTCAGGCCCCAGCTCTTGCAGAGCTGTCAGCCCCATCTTCTCTCTTACTTGGCCTGAGAGTTACCATTGCTGACTTTGGTTGAAACACTACAAGATCAGAAAGCCAGTGGTCCAAAGAAGTATTAAAACTGCGATTGGAGGAAGTCCCTTTAGCCAAAGGTGAAAAAAATAAGATGGATTTTTTTTTTCAATTTCCTTAAGGTTTGCAATGGAGTCCTCCCCACCTTCTTAAAATTGGCATCTCTCAACATTTGCCTAAGAGAAAAGGGAGGTAGGTAGAAGGGCTATGCCCACTATTCAGGCCTTTTGCTGTAGGTATATCTGTGGATCTGTAACCCATACATGCTTGATGTGACAGAATGTTGAGTACCTGGAAGGTTTTAGGCAAGGGATACAGTGTCACAGGCTTCCGCACAGCTGTTACATGCATGTGCAATATGAAGAGGAGGAGTCAAAACAGGTAGCTTTCTGGCATCCTGCAGAATTGATCCCACATGCACAAAACCCGCAAGCAGGCTGGCACTCTGATACCTTGCAGTACCTGCATCCCATATGAGCCATTGGAGGTCCTAGCCACTTCCCATCCCATTCAGACTCCTGCTAACATGCCCGGGAAAGCAGCATGAAATGGAATGAGTGCATGGGCCCCAGCCGCTATGTGGGAGACCTAAAAGGAGTTCACAGCCCTAACACTAGGAACAGAGCAGTGTGACTGGTGGAATACTCTGTGCTTGTGTATCCAGCAATCAAGGCAACGTTGTTTCAAACATCTTGATGTGCTAGACATCGAGCCAGAGTAAAATAGATACAGATTAGATTCTATTTTCCAGAGGAGAAGCAGACAGAGCTAAGAACCAGACACTGAGGACAGTGAAGATGAAGAACCAGATTCACAACAAAGAGATGAAAATGACCAGGCACAGGTGCCTTCTTCAGCGACGTGGCAGTCCCGAGTGATGGCTAATGCCTCCAAGCTGCCCCACTGTTGCCTTACTCATTTTAGTCAGCAGTCATGTTTATGTCTGTTTCTAAAATGAAGCAAGGTAAGCGGGGCTTGGGTGCCACCAACACCTGCATGGCTCTCCTCCCCACAGGCTGAATCCTGCCCGGCGCTTGTCCTGTGCTCATTACAAATTGCAGCTTTACAAAGTCAGACTGGGACCACGATAAGCCCTGTAATCTTTTGGTCTGCTCTTCTCTTTTGAAAGACGTACCTGTTAACGATGACTATCATCTCCCTTGTGGCCCAATGGAATCACATGATAGAATTCCATGGAGCAAAGTAGGAAGAAGGGCCGTAGGTAGGAAACCAGATTAGCAGAAGACATGTCCACCCTGCTGGTGGTCCAAGATCCCTGTATCACACAGTTACCTTCCTTGGTGCAGAAATGTTTAATGGACACATCCATAGAGCCTTAGCAGCATGCTAACCCACAGATAAATGGAAGGCGACGGAGCCAGGTTGAGAGTAGGGGGTTGGGCAGCTGCAGAGGAACCTTCACAATGGAAAGTGGTTCAATAAACATGCAGGTCATGGGCCCATGTGTCTTCTCTGTTTTCCATTAGACACCTGAGCTGAAATGTATTTAACACCAAGGTTTCCTACGGAAGGCTGAATATCTTGAATTCCACCAAGGTGCTTACCTTCAGCCAGCAACCAAAATGTGCTCCCTTGGTCAGCTGTCTTCCTGAATCCACTTCCTACTCTACGGAAGTCCCGAATTCCATCCTCCCAATCTATCTACTCTCCCCATTTTGCTTCCCAAACACACACTGTAACCTCTGAGTTACTCCACCACAACAGCGAATTTCAAGGTCCCTTTCAGTCATTCATCACCTCCTTCCAGGCCCTGAGTTCTCTGGCCACTCCGTTTTTAACTTGCCTCATCAACTCTCCTGTTCTGGCCAACTGGACAAGTCAGTCAGTGGTGACCACACCCTTTGCAATGGGCCTTAGCTCTGCTTGCCATTTGCATAGCTTTGGGTAGTCTCATTTCTCTCACTGAGCCCCCCGGTTTCCCCCCGCCCCAGTAGGTGATGGTGTCTCCCAAATCCCAATTTCTTGCCCAGCTGCTCTCTGGCTATCCAGGGCCATCAGCCCAGTTATGACAAACACAATTATCACAAACACCAAAAACTGTATTTAAAGGTGGATTCTTCATCTTTTAAATATCTTCACTTCATTGAATTCATCACGGTTAACACTGTTCCATCTGATAGTGCCGTCAAAACCTTGTACTTCACTTCCTCTCTCTCTCTTTCCCTCTCCTTAACATTCAGTGAACCAACTAGACCAGCTTTCTTTTCCTTTGAGACAGCACGAAGGCCAATCCCTCTTTCTCGTTGATGCTGCCTTTCCCTTAGTTTAGTTTTGACCCTCTGTCTGTCTGGTTGACTCATGGACTATTTTAGAGCTGTTCTCACTTTTTCCAGTATTACATTCTCTAACTTATTCCAAGACCTAGGGCACACATCACTAGCTAAAAACACAAATCCAGTTATAATACTCCCCATAGGTGATAAGACCATCCGATTTCTACCCCACCTCCAGCTTCCCTTCTCACATCCTCTCTTTTTAAAGATTCGTGACCCTCACTCCCCAGTCTCCCATACTCTCCTATACTCTACATTGGGAAGAATAAAGTGCTTCCCCTTGTCATTACGTACAATTCAATGCATGTAGAGAGTTTCCAACTTAACGATGTTTTGACTTACGATTCCTTGGCTTTACAGATACTGTGAAAGTGATACACATTCTATGGAAATAATACTTAGACTTTTGAGTTTAAATTTCTTTCCAGGGTAGTGATATATAATAAGATCTTCCTGCATGGTGCTGGACAGCCCAGTAAGTATTCCCAGCCAGCCCCATCATCACAAGGGGCAAAAACTGATACTCTGCAGAGGACTGTGCATCACACAGAGTAGGAAGCCAGGGTGCATGACAGATTAAGTGTGTTAAATGCAATTTCTACTTTGATTTTCAGCTCATAAGAGGTATAGTGGGATGTCATTCCCTTGTAATTTGAGGAGCAATTGTGTATATATATGTATATATATACACACAAATTATATACATATATACATATACACCATATATATACATATTATATTACACATGCATCTTGGGCTCACATACATACACCACGTGTAGATGATTTAGCACTTGAAAAGTTACTCTGTAATTGCTAATCTATGCATGTATTTCTCCCACTGCTGCTTCCTGAAGAGATCTTTCACACTCATCTTTGCACTCTCCTTGCACACAGCATTATTTCAGTTTTAATTGTTAGATAAGCAATGGCATTCCCCTAAACATCTACCATAATCCTATATGATATACTATGTAATGGAAAATTTTCTTTCTTGGTTGCTGATTTTAATTCATTACCTCCATGATGTCACCTTCAATTTTATGAGGGATGATATTATATATACTCTGTGTATTATTAAGTTCCCATTTCATAAACCACTCTCTACCAGAAGGGTCCCATATGAATGTGTTCAAAGCAAGAACTAGCACCGAGGGCCAGACATCCCTTCCAGAGTGACTTGTGTGTTTCCACTGTGCATTTCTACTTCCATAAGCCTTGTCATCCTTACTGACAAGTTAGAAGGAAAGGACTGACAAGGGATTTGGTCTCATCATATGTTTGACATTTATTGTGGACATGTTCACCTAGATCAAGAACTCTAGATCCAAAAGTATCTTGGGAGAGTGTGTGTTTCATCTTCTGAAAGCCTTAGTAGGAGCAGGGGATTCTGAAGTTGGTAACCTAGGTATGTGGGCTTTGAGCAGGTGTTTTCATAGACGCATCCCTTCAGATGGTGCGATCAAGGGAGGGCAGAGGAGAACCCACACTGGCAGTCTCAGGACTCCTCTGCTCTTTGTTAGCAGGAATGTGCAACACATAAAGATGGGACAGGATGATTCCAAATCAGGCAAGGTGGTACCTCAGCAGGAAAGTATCAGCATCCTAGGCATACTTGAACATTTCTGGAGAATTCTAATAACTACATCTGAAATAGCTTACCCACAAAACTGCACAAAACTGACCAAGACTTAATTTCTTACCTACAACAGGAAGTGGCAATAGAATGCTTCAGTAAGTAGATAACCAAATAGATACTGGATTTTCAAGTTAGATGGATGCTGACAGGTTATCTGACCCGGCAGATATATTTTACAGCGAGATGCAAAAGCCAACACACATAGCATTAAAGCTATTAAACCAAGGTCAAAGAATTTCTAACACACAATTACCACCAAGGAGCCTTGTCGGGTTACTCACATTAGTTCAGTTGTCCACATTCAGGAACCTGCACCTACGTACCTCAGTGTCTTCTCAGTAGGCAACTATCTCACATACTAAAGGCAATCTGCAATTTGTTTTTAGTAATTTATCTTGTGTCTTTTTAAATGAAAACAAACAGGCTCCTCCTGCTAAGAAGGAATCTGTTCTTCCCTCGCATTACCTTTTATAATACCTGGCATATTGTTCTGAAAACAATGGCCTTAGAGAAATACTGCTAACTTATGATTAGGAAAGATCAGGACAAATATAAGAAAATGAAAATGACAGACTTTCAAATGTAAGAAACTGAAAATGGAAGACCTTACCATTCAAGGTGATTCTCCACAAATGCAGACATGGGGCTGATCTGGACTGTGTAAGTGTCATTTGCAGAGTACTCAAAGAGTCCGTAGTAGGGGTTGAAGAGCTCCTGAGACAACAGGAAGAAGAACTCTCGAGAAGGGCCACTGTAGTCTAGTCTGCAAAGGAAGTAGAGGACCAGAAAGCTTATTAAATACCTAGGGGTGGAGAACCTATTTCTTAACAAAATTCTGTTTTTTATCCAAATTCTAGTGTGGTCATTCAGAGTTGGGGGCGGGAGAAAGTGCAGCAGCTTCCCAATTCTTGAACAGTGGATCCCAACGTGGTAACTTGCAGTAGAAACTGAAGTTGCAGTAACGGGTCTGGGGTGTTTCTGGACCACATGACCAAGAATGCATTCTCATGGCAATGTTTGTTAATCTTTTTCTTCCTCTTCATCTGACGCCTACAGACAACACACACATACAGGCAACACACACAGAGGCCCATTGGAAACAAGGTCTTTGTGACAGAAGGCACAAAGGAGTTTCTTTTGATAGTGCACGTCCCCATGCACAGAATTTTTAAACTTCCAAGTTCATTCCAATGTGCCTTTCTAGGTGGTCCTGTCCCTCTACGGTTGAATGACTTCATGAAATCACAGAAATTATATGAAAAGTTTGGTATGTAACTGCATGTATGTACCAAGGAGGAAGGATCTTCTGATTAGATACTCAGAAGGGTACACCACCTCAAAATTAAGATCCAGAGGCTTAACCCTGCATTTTTGGCTTCTATTTTGATGACATGATCTCAGACTTCAGGCATCCAACTAATCTAGGGTTTTTTTTTTAAGCACAGGATGCTTAAAGCTTGGCAGTCCCTGGAGAGCGAAGTCCCCTGGGACGACTTGATCAGAATCCCCTTCAGGGCAAAGGCTTGTAAAGACCTTGCTCCTTCCTGAGAAGAATCTCCCCTGCCTTTGGGCCTGGGCTTTGCCCACACTGTGGTATCTGTGGAACATTCCTGGTGCCTCACCCCTCCTCGCCAACAAAGGTGACGTAGAGCTTGTTTCTCTGGAGCTCCTTCCTGGAATAGGCCATCACCTGATTGAAAGTTCCCTCCAACAGATGGTCTCGGCGGATAATGAGCCTGAGAAAGAGAAGCAGAGATGAGTGGCAGCCCTGCAGCCAGGATGTGGGCAGTGCTGTGTGCCTGGCATGAAGGCCCATGTTCACCATCCATTTCCAACTCTCTCCACGAAGGGAGAAGGGAAGGAGGAAGGTTCCTGCCATTCCATAACAGACTGAGCACTTTCACACCTGTCGCTGGATACCCTCCATTAGACTGAACCACCTTAAGGTAATTAATAGACTATTCACAGAATGTTTCTAAAGTTGGGCTCGGTTTTCAAAAAGAAAAAAAAAAAATAAAAAGCCTTTTCACTTGAAGTTCAGTTATAAAGTTATAAAGATACCATGAATTTGACTAACAATTTTGCTCCAGGGATAAATAAGGTGGGGTCTTTCAAGTTTTTTTTTTTTTTCATTTAGTTCAGGAGTCTGTTTTTTGAAAAGGTTTACTATTCTTTCCAATTTCTTTCCTCTTTTCCTTCAAATTCCTAAATCATTTTTCTTCCTCCCTTTAGACTATAACTGCTACCAGACCAAGGTATCTGGGCTCCAAAGGGACAGAATAACATCTACCATTTCAATTCAGTGCTAAGCACTAGAATACTCACTTAATTTTCCCTGGACCCTGACCAAATCCTTTGGCTTCGAGTTTTCGGTAGAAATTGCGGAGCTTGGCCTCGAAGTCTCTCCGGTACGGTGAAGGGGCCCTTGCGCTGGCTCTCTGCAAACCTGCAGAGAGAAGCACGCGGCTGCTGTTCCCAGGGGCACACACAGAGCGACAGCAGATCCAAGGCCCTTCAGAAACACATTCCTCCGTCTTCGTGTCTGTCATCCCTTCAGTTTCTTTATATACATAGAAATAATAAACTAAAGACGGAATGACTGTGTCTGCCATTCCAAATATTTCAAGTTGTATTTCTTTCTTCTAAAAGTAGCTGGGTGAACATTATCTTGGGTTGATGGTACTTAATCTGGATCCATGAACACAAATTTGGCCAGACTAAACTTTTTGTGTCAGCTGCTATAGGAAGTGACTGCAACTGTAGTAAGGCAGGACATTTAATATTATGTTGTTGTCATGTTCCTGCTTTGATACTGATGGTAAAATGAGCATATCTGTATAGTAAGGCCCAGAGCACCGAGGGGTTTATATTAGGTTATCTTGCATCATAATAGCAAATTTTATAATAAAAATAAATCATTGTGTAATAGAGGATAATTTATTTCGCCTTAGTATTTTGTATAATCTTTATTATCTCTATACATGCTTTCGTGAAAGAGAAAAGGAATACGTGTTATTATTATCCAGGTGTTACAGAGGACCATAATCATGGCCCACCCAGTCAACAATTTTTTATAATTTATAATTTTTTTAAGTTACGTGCTGTGTTGCAAGTCCTAAGCTTACAATACAGATTTTTATACTAGTAAATCTATACTAGTAAATACATAGATTTATATTAGTAAATGAACGCACAGAAACAGTTGACTGCCAACCCATGAAGGAAGAGAACCCACTTCCTTGACATATCAGAACAAGATGGACATACTCAACACAGCTGTCTTGGAGAAGAAGTGAAGGGTAAATAGGCATGGATCCAGTGTGATGGCTTCACCTTCAAGTGTCAGGATCCCATACTGGCACAGCTCGTGTCCTGGCTGTCCCACTTCCCATCTAGCTCCCAGCTTGTAGCCTGGGAAAGCAGTCAAGGAAGGCCCAAAGCCTTGGGACCCTGCACTTGCGTGGGAAACCTGGAAGAAGCCCCTGGCTCCTGAATTCAAACAGGCTCAACTCCAACTGTGGCAGCCATTTGGGGTATTAATCAACAGATGAAAGATCTGTCTCTTTATCTCTGTAAATCTGATCTACCTTTCCAACAAAAACAAATGAATCTTAAAAGGAAGGAAGGAAAGAAGGAAGGAAGGAAGGAAAGAAGGAAGAAAAGAGTATATGGGATTGAGTGTGATCCTGATCCAGCAAGTCAAAAAGTCTTATCTTTAACTAGGAGAGGAGATGAGTGGAGAGAAGAACCGTGCAGGCAGAGCATGGAACATACAAAAGTCGCGAGGCAGAATGAAGAAACAGTGGTCCTGTTGTTTTGATGGTTCATAGGATGTGAGAACAGTGGTGATGCAAAACCAAAGCAGGAGAGGTGGACAAGAGCCTCATCAACAGAATCAAGGCCCCTCGGCTGAGCCATTTGGTACTGAGGCGTAACAGGAAGTCGCTCCCTGGGACTACATGATGTGAGCTGTGTCATGAGACAGAAAGCTGGAGAGCATGTAGGTGGTTTTAAAAAGTCCAAACTGAACAAGGTTGGTGTCAATACAGCAGAGAAGTGGACAGATCAGAAATGTATTTAGGAGGCAATAAATTAGATAGGACAAGTGGAGGAGAAGCAGTTTTCAGATTTGTAATTGAAAGAGCTGGGGTGTCACTCACTGAATTCTGCAACAACAGAAAAAGCAGCAGTCTGTGGGAGAAGCTCAAGAGTTTGATCTTTGTTGATGGCACCCTTAAAGAATTGAAACAGAATCTGAAGAAGAGAAAGCAACCTGAGAGTTGGGGAGGTTTCAGGATTGTTGGGAGAGGAGAAAGTTTTGCTTGGTGGCTTCCACTTTCACAGAGAAGTCAATTAGGGTGGCACTTGCTAGAAGTGCAGAAGGAGGTTGGGCATTTTAGGTGTGGGGAAAATGGAACATTTAAAATGATAGAGATGTTGAAAGGAACATACTAGGAACTGGAGACCCCTTGGAAGACAAAAGGCCACAGGGGTCCCAGGTGAGTAAGCATGTGGGGAGGGAAAAGGGGCTTGGACTGGTGACCTCAAAGATGACAAGATCAGGAGTGGGACTGCAAGAATTTGTATTTGAGGTGGAGAAGGAGGTCACTGGGGTCCAGGAAGGCCAGCCGCAGGGAAGGCTGAGTGTCGAAGGGTGACAGAAGGACTCGCTTAGGAAGGAGATGGCAAAAGGCAGGCGCACAGCCTTTGAGAATGAAAAAACAACAAATGGATAATGTGACTGGGACAGAGGGGGACAGGAGAGCAGCTGAGTGGTAGAGGCAAGGAAGCGCGGGGGGCCTGCAACACCTGGAACAGGAGAGAACCAACAGCCACCATGAGAAAACAGAGGCCTTGCCAAAAGGTTAGGTTTCAGGATGCAGGTCAAACTTGAACACCAGCCTGCAAGTCCAGATATAATTTATTGCAAGCAAATTTTAGGCTATTTGTAATATTGTGACTTTTACTGGTGCCGAAACTACCACTATCCCCATGACTCTGCATTTTTCAAATAATTAATACTTCACCAAGTGCTTCAGAATAAATGCCTGTAATTCATCACTCTTTGTTGCCTGGATGAATTTCATAAAAGTCTCAGATAATGAGAATTGTAAAATTTATTATATTTGTATTACATAACCTAGGATCCTTTCATAAAAACTGGATAATAAGGAATTAATTCATTCGGCAAAATGAATTAGATGACTATTTAGATTCATGGAGTCAATCATGCTTTTGCCAAGAAATGTTATTCCTTTTTATAGGGGGACATCAAAGAGTTTGTGGAAAACAGAAACACAAAAAGAAAAAAATAAAAGAAAATCAAAGTACAAGATTAGTTGGTGTTTTTTTTTTTTTTTTTTTTTTTTTTGGTGCAAAATATTGAAATTCATCCATAACAGAGGTACTCAAAAAATTCATGGAAAAATGTGCATTTCAATTTTCTTTTGCACCAAAATAAACTTTGTTTTTAGCAAGCTTCTAAAAGTATCTTCATGAAAGTTATCCAAAACAATCATTATTTACCAATTTTTTTGTTTGCAATATGAAATCGCTCATATAGAGTCGTGTTAAAATCATGCATTCTTCCTCAAGGTTGCTGGTCAAAGATTAGACATGTTTGTGAGTTGTGTCAATCTGTGTCTGGCAGCTTATCCTGCAGAAGAAACATTTCCCCAAATGGAAGACTCTCCAGAAGCAGGTCACCTCGGGTGCCTAGGGGAGGGTTTATTTTCCTGATGTCTGCTTCAGAAAGATCTGGTCCTATATTACTCAGGCAAAGGGACCTCAATTATGTTGTGTGTCAGAGCTTGCTATTGGCTATTTCCTTACCAGTGATACTGGAACACTTTATTGCAGGCAGAGGTGGCAAATGCTGTCTCAAAAACAGATTTTAGCCACTAGCTGACCTTCCTCTAGGAGGCAGTTCTAATTGACACAACTGGGAGTAACTAAACTAAGAAATATTCTAGTTTGGGAGACCCATGAGAATCCTGAGTATGCGACCTCCCTGGGGGACAGTGTGCTGCTGCTGAATTTTTCTCTTCTGAATCTCCCCATTGCTTAAAATACAAAGCATGGACTGATACTACAGGCTGGGAGACAGGAAATTCCTAGATTTTTTTTCAGATTAACATTTTTCATTTTTACTGTTATAAAATGAGTTTATCGTATAAACTTACAATATTGTAAAACTGCATGTCAAATAAAAAGAGAACTTTCCTAAAACCTATATTCAGTTGAGGGGGGTATAAATTTGACCTACCTAATTGACCTAAGATAATTATCTTGATGACTTCAGCTCGATACTCAGTTGCAATGGAAAGTATTTTCCAATAATCACTGTGTCATAAGTAAGTTCATTATCGTACAGAAAGAAAACTTGGGGAACAGCATCATATAGTGCCAGAATTCTTTGGAATCTTTGTGGAGACAGAACAACAACCCCTAGGAATATGTTGCTGAAACTGGTATCCAAAAGAATTCTGAGTCAGAAGGCAGAAGGTTTCAGAAGGGATATTTTCTATTGAAAATGCTTGGAAAGCGTTTTGCATGCCACAGTAATTTATAGCAGAGGGAAGTAACATATTTTTGCAATGGGCCAGAAAGCAAGTATTTTAAGATATGCAAACGACTTGGTTTCTGTTGGTAATTCTCATTTCTGCTGCTGCAGTGTGAAAGCTGCTGTGGAAAAAAAAAAAATCTCAATAGAAGGATATGGCTGGGCTTTCACAAAACTATTGGGGGCTTAGGGCATTAGATCCGAAGGCAGCAGCAGCACCTTAGTGAGTGGCCTTCCAATCAGGAATGGATGGGCACAATGAGAGGACACACAGCTGCCCTCCATCCACCTTCATGGAGCGGAAACACACAGGACACAGCAGGCCAGTTCTCAAGTTACCTGGCGAGTTCTGAGGTGAGGAGCAGGGTGAACAGCGGGGGGAGAAGCTATACCCAGGGTGGAAGGCAGCCTGCAGTGGGACGTAGGACATAATCTCTTCTTCAAAGAGACTGCAAAGTTAAAGAAACAAAAATTTAGTTCTACATCATCAAGGAGGTGCTCACGAACCGGGGTGAGAGCAATTATAGTTCTCACAATAACAGCGATTAGACTTGAACGTGGGACATGAAGGCAGCCACATCCTGCTTGCAAATTCTCAGTGTATTTTAAAACTGCCACAACAGTCTTTGCCAGGCATTGTGTGCAGCTCTGGAGTCCCCCAGATGTAAAAGTAAACACAGTTGCAGACATCAGGTAAAGGGGCTGGGGTCTTTCGCCAATGGAAGTTGCTAGAATGTTCTAGAATGAGTGGCTTCTGAGCGGGCAACTCTCAGAACAGCTACAGGGGAGAACTGCCCAGAGCAGCTTGCCCAGGCTTGTTTCTGGCTCAGCCCCTTACCTTAGTAGGATAACGAGATCCGCATCACAGGACAATTTTTCAAGCCCATGATTACCCTCTGTCCGAATGTAATGGATTTTCTCCCTGGAACAAAATGGTAATGAACATGAGAATTCCTCACCAGTTTAGGAGATAAGGAATTAACTTCTTTCTTGCCTGCACCCTCCTTTTGCAACACAGCTGGGCAGCACTATCCTGTTGAACACTGAACTTTGTGGCCAAGTTGCACAAGCTCACGTTGCGTACTCACTGGGGCCTACAAAGGCAGGCTCTCCCTTGACTCCCACAGGGACAGAAGCTGAGGAGCCAAGGCAGGTCCTTGAATAGCTGAGACAGCCGGTGTCTGGGAGGGATGCTGTTGAACCCCTAACATCACCCTGAGCTACTCTCTTTCCATTCATGTTCTATCAGCACTGCTTAACCATCCTCTCATTCACAGCAGTCTCTTACACAGCCTCTTGTTGCATCTTATCCCCTGCTCTGCTCATCTGCTCTCTAGAGCATCCAAGTCACCATCAAATACACAGTTATAACACGATCTCCTTCCTGCTGAGAGTACCTGCAAGCTTTTCAAATAAAAGTATATTTCAAACAAAAATGCTAACCTTTTTTTTTTTTTTACTGGTAAGGCCTTGCCTTTCAACTCTTCCGTGCTCTCTCCTATCTCTCCCAAGCAACCGGCTTTTGGAACCTAAGACAGACTCTGTGCTTCCTTGAGCACAGTCACGGCAGGAGGGGGTGCTGTCCCCACCTGGGGACTTCAGAGGAAGTTGCCAGCTGTTCCTCATGCAGAGTCCTGGGGAGAGGTCTGCCTTCCTACTCTCAGACTTTGAAAAGGGTCCTGTCTCCCCTTATGCCACAGTCAGGGAGCGAGGCAGGACCCCGTCATGGGGCAGTGTCTTTCTGTTGAGTTTTGTGGCCTTAGAGTCAGTTTCAGTCACTGAAGGATCTTTGTTCCGGTTTTAAAAGAATAATTTTAATTTATTAAAAATATTCTACATGCGGCACACATTGGCACAATGATTAAGACACCATTTGGTTGGGGTCAGTGCCATGGTGCCATAGGCTTAGCCCCCACCTGTGGTGCCAGCAGCCCATATGGGCACTGGTTTGAATCCCAGCTGCTCCCTGCTTATGGCTTGGGAAAGCAAGAGAGGACATCCCAAAGCCTGCACGTTGGAGACCTGGAGGACGCTCCTGGCGCCTGGGCTTGGATAGACTGAACACACTCCTGCGTTTCTAGTCTTTGAAACACTGAATAGCAAACTGAAGAAGAAAGACACTTGCTTATCTTTGCAAGAAAACGGGATTTAAATTCGTGGACATAATTCTCTTTTTGCCACTTCAAGTGAATATCCCTTCCAAATGAAGTGATTCAGAGTTTCCGAGATGACCCTAGTGAAGAAAGGACCCTGATGGACAACAACAGCATGGAAGTGCTTAGAAACATAGGCCACTTTGCTCGCTTTTGAATATTTTCATCCTATATTAATTTTCCCATGAAAGAATTGCATTTCAAAAGTAAAAATGACCTATGTGCTATTTTACATAAGTAATTTTTAATGAACACTATTGCTTTCCTTTAAATAAACGGTAATCATTTCACATGGTATAGATCGTAGGTAACCTGACCACACAAATATCTCTGTGCCAATTCCCAGAACACTAGAATGACTCGGAGCTTTCATTGTGAGGATTCAAACTATAGCTGAAATGCATGACTAAAACGCAGCTTAAGCATATGTCCTGTGACACAGGGGAAGGCAGCTGGAAAGCCCTGGAGGGCCAGGAGGGAAGGGCGAGCCTACCTGAGTGCGTGCTTTCTTGCCAAACTTGGCTGACGCTCTTGCAGCATTTCAAAAATGTTTGGCTGGCGAAGAAATGCCACAATCTTGTCATTATATGCTGAAACAGACAGAAGCGCAGAATTGTGGTTGAGTATGAAGCTCAGAGGTAATTTCCCTGATGATTGGAAAATGGGCACCTGATACCAGGATTGGTGCAGCAGTTTGAAGGGTAAGGAGCAAACTTAGCAAAAAACATAGAAAAAGAAGTTAGCTCTTGTGCCTTTTAACATGTGACGTGATTGCATCACTGCATTTTAAAAGATGAAGCAAACAGTGAACCAGATCTAAGTTAATCATCTCTAATTTATCAGGAACTTTGGTGATCAGTCAGCTGTGTGAAAAGGTAAAACAGAATAAAGCAGCTTTCTGAGCAAAGTTGTTCTCTCCCTAACTTTTCTTGGTTATTCTACTATGTTTCTCATGGCAGAAGATCCTTTATGAGTTCACAGAAATTCTTTTCTGAGCACTTGGCACTTAGAACACTTGACCTGTAGTTCCCAGCACTGATAATGGAAATACCTATTATTTAGACTTCCTTAACCTTATTTCTCCTGGTATGAGTGGCATGAATTTTGGAAAAAGTTAGTAAAGGTTACTGAGGAAGTTTCCCCAATATTTGCATGAAAGAGGGGTAAACATTAGAAACCACCTGTACCAATGATAAAATTCTCTCCTTCAACGAAACTGTGAGGCTGGAGTGAACAAATCATTAAACAGGAGGGTTTGCAAGAGTGGTGTAGGAAGAGGGAGAGAAGAAAGAAAAGAAGAAAAAAGAGGAGGAAGGGAAGGCGGAAGGAGAGAAAGTGGGAACAAAGGGTAGGGGAAGGGATGAGTGGGCTGTGTCACAGAGGGGGAGAAAGACGACAGAATTTCGAAAGCTGAAGGATTCATGATGAGAAAGACAAGGTTAAACCCTGGGTATCCAGGGACTTAAAGAAGGGTGATACCTACCCAGTGGCAATGATTCATGTTGATGCTGGCTGCGAATAGCAGCTACCAGGCTGTGTCCTGGCCGGGCCAGTAAAGAGGCGCCTCTGTTTCTGGAGACTTCAGAGGCCTAATTTAAAAATGAATGTAGAAAGCATAGAAATCTGTCATTGATTTCAGATAGTCTCTTTTAAAAACTATTATTTTTTTCTTGACACATTCTATAAGCATAGGGATTCTCCCTTCCTCCTAACTCATCATCCCCACTGCTTCCTCCTATTATAATAGTACAGTCCTTCAGCAACAGTCATAAGCCCCAAATTCTATTATTTAAATATATCATGGCATGTTAGCTATAGACAACGGTAGAAAGTCTAGTATCCTGTTGTCAACATATATTTAATAGTTTCATTGGAAATGTCCATTTCATTTGGAAGTAGAAATGCATCCTACACTGTATCTTCACTTCCTGGTATGCTGGTTTTCCATTACACAGTCCATCTGTGAGGATGTATGGATACACATGTTTACCTATATATCTATTTAACTTGTATCTTGCATGAAGGTCACCTTTTGTCAGAATATCTGATATTTGTCCTTTTGGGGTTAGTTTATTTCACTGAGCAAATTGGTCTCTATTTAGGACCATTTTGTTGCAAATGGTAGAATTTCATTCTTTTTAATGGCTGAGTAGTATTCCATGGAGTAGATGTACCACAGTTTTTTTTATCCTGTCCTTTTTGTGATGAATAACTAGGTTGTTTCTATGTCTTTGCTATTGTGTATTGTGCTGCTACAAATATATGATTGTAAGGTAATTTTATCATATGCAGATTTTTACTTCCTTTGGATATGTTCTCCAAAGTGGGATAGATCCATTTTCAGTCATCTGAGCACTCTCCACAGTGTCTTCCATGGCGGCTGCACTAGCTTGCATTCCCATCAACACTGGAGTAGAGCACCTTTCTCCCCACATCTATGCCAAAAGGTATTGTTAGTAGATTTATGAATGTAGGCCAGTCTCATTGGAGTTAGGTGGGACTTCAATATGGTTTTTATTTCTATTTCCCTAATAGCTAGGGAGCCTGAGCCCTTTTCTCATATGTCTATTAGCCATTTGAATTTCTTCTGAAAAATGCCCGTTTACTTCCTTCGCTCATTTCTTCACAGGGTTGTCTGCCTTATCATTGAGTTTGGGAAGCTCTTTATAAATCCTGGATATTAGTCCCCCATCTATTGTGTAGCGCTCAAAGATTTTCTCCCATTCGGTTGGTTGTTTTCTTTCCTTTGCTGTACAGAAGTTTCTTAGTTTTACCTAGCCGCCTTTTTTTAATTTGGCTTTGACAGCCTGTGCTTTTGGTGACTATTCTAAAAAATCTCTACCAATGTCTATATTTTGTAGAGTGCTCTCTATGTTTTCCTCTGGTAGTTTGATGGTTTCTGGGTATAGATTTAGGTCTTGGTCCATTCAGAACTTATTTTTACATAAGGTGACAGGTGGTAGCCTTGCTTCTTACTTCTGCAGGTTTCTAACCAATTGTACCAATGGCAGTTGTTGAAGAGACCAGGCATTTTCCCTGGGTTATTTTCAATTCTCTTGTCGAAGACTAGTTGAGTGCACTCGTATGGGCTCATTTTGGGATTCCTGTCCTGCGTGTGCTAGGTTACACGCAGCCCTGGAGGGTGCTAACTTTATCCTGAGTAATGTCTCATAGCAACTGAATACAGACTGGATCTCATGTAAACATATAGCACCACCATTTTCCCTTTTAACTATTGAAAGATGACTAGAAGACTGAATTTTCCAACTGAAAACCCAAATTATTACATCACTGAAATTTGCTAGTACTTGATCCATTTGGTCTGAGATTCCTAGGAGACAGAGAGAGAGACCGAGAGAGTGAGCGAGCAAGTGAGAGTGAATACAGGTGTAAATGAGAATTGCAGCTATTCTATGACTGGGTAAAACCCAGTTTGCAGTAGGCTCTATTTCAGCACTTTCTTTTTCTTTTGTGTTGATAGCCTTAATCATAACTGTAAATGTGAAAACTTCAAACACTTAGCTCCCTAGACAAAACAAACTAGTTATCTTCAGAAAGTAGCTGTCAGTAACTGGTAAATATGTTTCTCCTTGACATTGCCTTTTGGAAATGTGTATTGCTGGGTTTATCTAAAGCTTTGATTGAAAATTGCAGGTTTTAGAATACCTCTGGGTTAATAATCAACCCAACACTCTCTGAAAACACTGGAGGCCTTATGATTAAGAAAAATTTAAACTTATCAAGTTCAGAGTAAAGGCCCAGCTGACAAATCTGCATTAATCTCTAGAATCCTGTGTTTTCAAAATGTGGAACATCACAGAATGAATTTCTTCTGGGAAACAATAAAGTTCAATAGTAAGAAATTAATGAATAAGAGTTTGTATAATTTCTATTTTTGTAATGTATAAATATATTTTATTTCTATTAGAGAAAATATGTCTTCAACAAAGTCTTCAAAATTAACTCAAGTAAACAAGAGACATCTGTGTTTGAGTTGTTTGATTCAATTATTAAAAGTAAAAAAATGGGTAACAGATAATGCACAAAGAAAACTAGAGTTAAGTGATGGTAGAGTCTTCTGGCCAAATAATGTGGAAGAATCTTAATGGTGTGAAAATTATCTGCAACGTAGCATAATGACATACCGAAACACAGACAATAAGATCTAATTGTCAACTTTTGTGGATACCAGGATGTGTCTCCAACGAAAACCATATTCAGTCTCTAAATTGTTTCCTTTCCATATATCTTTTCCATAATCGCTGAACATTGTTTATAATCAAAAAGCTTACTGACAAACTTCCAATCAAACCTGCAACCAAGAATGAATTATATAGAATTAAGAGGAAATCTACATATTACCAGGAGCAAGGTAGCAATTACTCCTCTCAGGACAAACTTCATTAATGAAGACTCCTGCCTGGCAGTAGAAACAACGACAGGGTTGTTGGCAGCTGAGTCCCTGGAATGTCTCACCACAAGGAACTTCTGCCTTTACATATCTTTTAAATTTTCATTTCTATTTGAACATAGAATTCTTATATCAAAACTGATTTTAATTATGTCTTTAAGTTCAGTTTACATAAAACAATCAACTGTTAGGCAATCCAGGAGAATGATTCATTTTGGTGTATGAAAAATATCGTTCTCTAAAATATAGTCTACGAAAACTGCTGGAGCTCAGTTCCTATTGCTTATAATACACGTGGCAGAAATTTGTGGTCTATGGCCATACCTCACTTACTGTTCTTGACATTCATATTTCTGCCAGCTTCACTGTAATGGCAAACCATATTATGTTGGTGTTTCAACACTATTCTCAGTTTGTCTACCAACCTACCACCCTGATGGTAGTTCACTTTAGGTGCCAACTTGACTGAAGTAAGGGATAGTGGCAAAGCATTATTTGTGGATATGTTAGTGAGGGCTTTTGAGTATTGGAATGGGCAAATAAGTAGGGGTAATGTACTCGCCCAGAGCAAGCAGGTGTCATCCAGTTTGTTGAGGACCTTAATGGAGCAAGAAAGGCAGAAGTAATGTAAAGTTAGTCCCTTTTCTTGAGCTGGGACAGCCGCCCACATTCTGTTCTTTGATAGCACCATTCTAGCTCCTAGCTTTCAGGCTCCTGGGCCTTCAGTGTAAAATAGGAGTTGCATCACAGATTCCTGGATTCTTGGGTTTTCAGGACTTAGATCGAGCCCCCTACCAGCCTTACTGCTTCCATAGCTTGCACACAGCCTCGTGTGGGATTCCTCAGCCTCCAGAACCAAGTGAGCCAATTTCCCAACAAATCCCCTCATCTCTTTATCCATCTAGCTAGACAGCGTATTAGTTCTGTTTCCCTGTAGAACCCTGACTATTACAGCACTCCTTTGCCTTTTTCCTGTTGCTTACACTGTTACGATGACTGGTGAGACAAAGGGCACCACTGGCATTTAATGGGTGGAACACTTGCATTTAATGGGTGCAACGGTAGGAGTGAAGCAATCTCTAAATCCTATTTTGAGATGAAAGTCATCATGTCACCTTTCTCATCCTCATGCAATGAGTTCATTGTTTTAAAGGATTTAAAACTTTTATTTGAAACACAGAGTTACAGAGAGAGTGAAAAGAGAGCCAGAGACGGAGATTTATCTGCTGGTTCACTCCCCAAATGGCTCCAATGGCTGGGGTTGACCTAGGCCAAAGGTGGGGGCTTAGAACACCTTCTGGGTTTTCCAGGTGGGTGGTAGGGACCCCAGTACTTGGGCCATTTTCCACTGCTGTCCATGGGATGTTTGCAGGGAGCTGGATCAGAAGTAGAGTAGCCAGGACTCAAATAAGATGAGAATGTCACAGGTGGAGTTTTGATCCACGAAGCTGAATGCCAGCCCCTAAGGGTCTTTAAAAAGTCCTACCTTCTTTGTGTGGCATTCAAAGCTTTTCCAAGCAAAGCAAGTCAGAACTTGCTGTGCAGCCATAGATAACTAGTCGCTACATCTCTACAGACTTTTCTTCATCTCACTCCTTTGCTTATGCTGTGCTTGCTCTCTGCAGGGCTGCCCTTCCTCCTTTGTACCCAGCTACATTCTACCAGTTTTCAAGGGCTAGGTCACGTACTTTACATGAAAGGATACCTTTCCTTGCCCTGCTTTGAACTTCTGTGGCACTTGTCCTAACATTGCTCTTGATTTTTAATCATATTCTGATGTCTTGTGTTACTTAACTGTGTATTTATGACCTAATTTCAAAAATAGAACCCAGACTTCTCCAGGGCAAGGACTGTCTCCTCCTTTGTACTCCACAGTGCTCATAGCAAGTCACAGACTTGTCTGTATTTGTAGAGCAAAATCACATCCCAGGGAAGAAAGCCAACATCTCTCATCCCCCTTTTCCTCTATTTTTGAACCAGACTCACTCTCATGTCCCCATTCCCTGCACAGAGGGTCCTCACAGTAGGAGGGACCAGATATTTGTTTTCTTAGAGGATGGCTCTTTTGATTTCTCTAGTGTGCTGCCTCTGGATCAGATGTCCTCTTTCTCCAAGCTTCACTCTATGTGGCTTTTGCCCTTGTGTCAATATAAGACAGAAGAGAGGAAATGGGCAGACACATGGAAGACAGAAATGCAATTAGCTGATGCATTTGGGAGTAGATACTCTGGTAAGTAGACCGATGGCTGCTGCACATTAATACATCAAATGCTAGGATCTTTCTGCTAATTCTTGGTTAATGTTTATGGAACAGCGTCAGCAACACTGATATTAACTGTATTTGGGCTCTTCAATCACAAAACAGCAAATACTTTCTGAAACAGGTAAGGTAAGTGGAACCCATGTTCCCAATCCTCTTCTTTTAATTAGAAAGGTTTTTAATATTAATGCTTTCAGGTTACTTTATTGTAAGTGTAAGAGAATATCTTTAGGGGGTTCATCTAACATTGGATAATCAAAATCTTTGTTTTATTGATGGTGAATCTGTTCTATTCAGTTTCTTATCACATGCTAACTGTACAGGATAATTTCCTGTGTCAACACTGAAAATGCTAAGCAATATGGAAGAATTCAGAAAGTCCCCAAATAAGTCAAAAAGATATTTCTAACTTGGTATAAAATTTTGAACTTATTCACTATATCATTAAGACATTATAATCACTGAAGTGTTACAAGAGTGTCACCCAGGAGAGGGGCAGGCATGCTGAACTGGGAAGGTGGGGCACTGTTTTCTTTAGTTTGATGAACAAGTCCACATGAGAGCTACGTCATGCTGAGGGTGGGATGTTACTCTCCCACATGTGGTCACATGCACACATTACGTGTACAAAGAAAAAAGACTGTCAGGCCATTATTCCGGTGCAAATGTCACGACACCAGCATCTCCTAGCAGAGTTCAGGCTTGCATCCCAGATCCTCTGCTCCCGGTTCAGCTTCCTATTCATGCAACTTGCAAGGCACTGGATAGTAGCCACCCACAAGGGAGAACTAAATGGAGTTCCTAACTCCTGGCTTCAGCCTGGCACAGCCTCAGCTGTGGTAGCCATTTGGGGAGTGGCACGCAGATAAAGATCCCTTTCTCTCTCTTACTTTCAAATAAACAAACAGGCCTTTTAGAAGAAGGATATCAGCAGCATCCTAGGCCAATGATAACGATCCCAGCAAAGCAAACTTGACTTTATAACACTGTCACAAGCCCTGAGTACCCTCAGTTGGAAACAGTTGTGCCTCTCAAGGGTGCTGAAGACTACTTCTGAAGAGATGGCACACAACTAGTGCCAAACCAACAGGAACAATCTCTTCGCTGAAGATTTGTTTACTTTCTGGAGGAGACAATTGCCAAGTGGAATCAGCATTTTCTCAGTTTTTCCCCAAGATTTGCTCTGTGACTTTCCCTGGAATCACTCTCTGTGGAATAGGTGTGGACTTCAAAAGTTCATGGAAGGTTAGAATTTATACATAAGATTATTTTGATGGAAACAATTTTGAAAGCCATGGGTAGTTTTTCATAGCATACATTTCCCATCAATTTCCTGAAATCTCTTTGGATGTATCTTCCTTTCCCACCACTCGTTTCTCCCTATCCTTTCCCTCAACTTGCACAGGCTACTTTATGGGCAGTGGTTAATACGTCCATCCCTCCTGAGATCATGGTGGTGTGCATGAGGAGAAAGCACAGTGACCTGGGAAATGCCCATCAGTGCACAGAAAAGGGGCATTGCCTCATAATATTTTCTTGGAACCAGTTTGAAATAGAAAGAGCTACATTTTGAGATTGGGCTTGGAAAGGGAGAACAGGAAAAGGGATTGGACACAATGTTCGGCAAGAAGGAGAGGCTCCAAAAGGAGGGACAACTTGGCATGATTTGGCAGAAAGCAATCATGGGTAGGTAGTGCAAGAAGATACAAAGCCGGGGAGACCGCACAGTAACACAGGAATAAGGTATTCAAGCAGCCCGGTTGATTTCCCCAGCTTTTAACCCATGTCGTCTGTTTGACTCAAGTCTTTCCCGGGACTTGACAGCTCCAACCGCATCTTAGTCTGCTTTACAGTTGTTAGTAGTGACGGTTACACTGGACAAAAGTGCAGAAAGAAGGCAAGCAGACAGCAGCGTAGGGTGGCTGGGGGTGACTCAGTGTCATCATGTACCGACTGACAGGGCAATATGTGTACAGTATAGACACTTAACAAGTAGGTCTCTGTCTCTACCTCTAGGAGGTGGAGTGGCCCTGTGAGCTCTAGGGTAGGGGGTTGGAATGTGGGGTGTGGGGAGCATACCTCTCCAGCACTGTAGCTCCGGAGTCTTTGGAGATGCTGTCGGTGAGTCAGATGATTGGGAAGGCGACCGTTCTGGAGAGGGATTCGGGGGTCGATGAACGTGGTTGCTCGACTATTGTGGTCCACAAAAAAAGACTGTAGACAGACCATGGGGGCGGGGAGAAATAACACAACACTGCATGAGAGTGGGGGCCAAAATGGTGTCAATAATAAAATCCTTATTGCTGTCCAATCCCCCCAGCACCTGTTAAAACATATTCAAAACTCTTCAAGCTAGACAGGGACTGAAGAACTGTGACCTGCTTGCTGCATAAAGCAGTATCAATCACTGATAAACACCTGACCTTGTGTGTTCATAGTGATTATAACACACCACTCAACATACAAAGTAAAGATGGCAGAGCCTTTGGTGATGAAAATAATAATTCATGCAGCATTTCATTCACTGTTATGATACTCTTTTGACTGCAGAATGAACATTTTTTTTTCTGGGAAAAAATAACTCTGAAAGGATAAAAATATAGAAAGATGCCTAAGCCGAAGGGTAATCATTAAAATATGCTGATGTTTTCAAGTCTTTTGTTTCCCTAGGCACATATACAAAAATGTATCTCTCCACACCAGGTTCTAAAGTTTTATTATAATTTTCCATATGATCTATTATTATATAAAGATTCATTCAACACATATTTTTAAAAGGTAGAGGGTATTCAAGTTTGATAGATGAATAATAATTTCAGCACCCTTCAGTGTTGAGCACTTGGCTTTTTATCTGTTTTTGAGGATTTATTTTTGTTTAGAGCTAACAAGAGAGAAAGTCTTCCATCTGCTGACTCACTTCCCAAATGGCCATAACAGCCAGAGCTTAGCTGATCCAGAGCCAGGAGGTTCTTCCTGGTCTCCAAAGTGGGTGCAGGGGCCCAAGAACTTGGGCCGTCCACTTCATTAGCAGGGAGCTGCATCAGACGTGGAACAGCTGGGACACGACCCAGCATGCATATGACACGCTGGCACTGTGGTGGGGGGATTAGCATGCTATGCCATTGTGCTGGTCCCTAGCATGCGGCTTTTTTAACTGTCTTAAAATAACATTTCACTAAACACTACTCCATACATCTCTGATTTGTCAGTATGCATATGCCCCAATACGTGGCAAAAGTTGGTCATTAAATTTGAAACTACCTCTTCATAAAAGACAAAACTATTACTTTTCTCTTGTAAAACTTCTGCATCATGGACCTGCCCTTCAGGCTCTCTTTGGTACAAAAGGTAACATTTGATGAAGACATACTATCCTGACATGACCTCAATTGATGCTAGATGTTTTCAGATGTCACCAAACAGAAGTAGCCAAAGAAACAAGAAACATATTTAGACATTTTCCTGGGAAGTTTGAGTTTATAATTTGCAGTATCAGATGTTATTGTAAACATTTTTTTAGAGAGCCTCAAAAATAGTCATGCAGGAAGTGGCTCCGTTATGGGAATCAAAAATATGCCTCCCAGGGACAAGAGCAAACCATCCTCCTAACAGCACGGGGAGTAACGCGTGGCTTGCAGGGACATTTCTTGAGATAGACCCCACTCAGACTCACAATAGGGTGAGTGTCAGACTGGAGCTAAAAATGACATGTCCCCCAAACTGCTAGATAACTCAGAAAAGTAATCCTGGTGGTGTAAAGAATGTGAGTAAAGAATATGAATAATGCTGAGAAAATCCAAAATGCTCAATTTCCCAATTTTTCTTGGCGTGAAACTGTAAACACACAAACATGGATTAAATTAATAAATATTAAAGGAGACTTTGTCATTGCATGTATGAATGTCCTAGAGTTTTTCACCATTTTTGTCTGCATTAGAAAAGTTACAATTGGTTCATGAAATGCTTTGTGGCATTCCCAGCTTTTCCTGAGCCTGGGGGTAGATCACTGGGATATCTTGGACTGGGTAAGTACTTCATGGATGTGTTAATGACTACAAACCTACCCAAGTTTTTAAATGTCTCAAGTCATTTTTTTAAAAAAGAAAAAAAGCATAGATATGCAGTATTTCTAAAATATTACTCATTTCTTCTATAACATGATCACAACTGGGCCCATGAACTCAAGTCAGTGGTTTAACCCCCAACATTCAATGTCAATAGTACTTGAAGGATGCAAATTGAATCCAAGGTTGGTGTTTGGAAGTTGGGCCTATGAGAGGTCACTGGGTTGTTAGGGTGGAGCTCCCATGTTGAAATCCTGGAGATCTGATAAGGGACTGTGTGGACAGACCTTCATATGCCTGCTCTCTCTCTGGCCACTTGACACCTTGTGCCACATCAGGACTCTGCTGGCCAGGACACCATCACCAGAACCCAGACCGATGGGCCTGACCCAATCTCAGGCTGGGAATTTCCAAAACTGTGAACCAAAGTAAGCTTTCTTTATAAAGTCAGTTGCGCCAGGTATTTCTAGTGATTAAAAGCTAACCTCAATCTAACACTTTTATAACCATGTACATTTTTAATTCCCTTGTTTCGATCATCTCATTTCTCATTTCTTGATTTTATCATTTTTCTTAGATTATATCTCAATATAACTCTCCCATTATTTCTTCTAATTATTTCTAATTATTCTTTTCCAATTTTTGACTTCCTATTTTTCAAATAAATGTTGAAATAAATTTCCGCCTTAATTGCTGTTGGGTTTTACTGCTGTTTTTAATTCTGAAACAATATTTTTCTTGCTTGAAACTAAAAGTTCCATCACTAAACCTTTGAGTATAGACTTCCTGTGTCCCATGTACTATTAGATATTGCTCGTCTGGACTTTCAATAACTAATACTTATATCTAAATCCATACTGTACTCCAAATCTCAAAGTCTTCAAGGTCACCGTTTTGAATAATTGTTGGCAAATACTTCATTGTTACAGTTGTATTACTTCATCTTCTTAAAATAAACACTACTGGTAACAACTCTTCTGTATATAGAGTTTGACCAGTCTGTGTACTTCACACAAGCGAAATCACATGATGATGATTCTTTTCTGTCTGCCTTTTTTCCCTTACTACAATGTCGCAGGTGTTAGTTATTTGCAGGGTCCAGTGTGGGATATTGGAATAAGTTCTTACAGCAGGCATCATCCACACTGCATCACTTACTAGAATTTCACTCTTTGGAGCTGATCATTATATGTTTCTAACATTTTTCATTCTTACATGTTCTATGTTTAACAAAAGAATATCGTTAACACAAATTAAAACCCTGATTGTTTTGCATATGTCATCAATTAAGCTGACTGGATATAAAAATGTTTTCAACTATGGCTATATTTCCTACTTATCTTTTTCTTGCATTTAATGATATTTTTCTCATCAGTATAAAATTACATTTATTTGAATTATATATTTATATTAATTATGATTTTATATATTATTCCTTTGGCCTCACTTAACAATTATGAATTTTCCTTTGTATGATGTTAATACATTGCCACTGATTTTTCTGTTATCATTGCTTCCACATTCTATGAATATGTATTCTTTGGCTTTTAAAATTTCTGAGTCATTTATTTGGAATGTCTTTTTATAAACTGGGTCTGTTTGCTACCAGATTTGAAGTGTTTTCCATTTCATAGGAAAGTTGATCCTATTTCAGCTATTGGCATAACTGTTATGCTTGGCTTTATTTCTGTTATCTTGTTTTTATTATTTCCATTTTCTTTGTGGATAGTTTCATGTTTTGTTAGACTCTATCTTGTTTGATTTTATCTTTTGTAGGAATTTAGGAGAGAGCAGTCTTGTCTTAAATGGTATAAACACTTGTCTCTGAAGTGTGTGGAATAACTATATTTAGCCTTTGTTTTTCCAATGACCTGACTGGGCTCCACGTGCCGCTGACCAGGAGCTCGGCACAGCCCTCCTGGCTTGCCTCCCTCTTCTCATTCGCTCATTGTTACAGTACAACCTGAGGATAGATATTGACCCATACTGTCATCACGTAACCATTCTGGTTTTATTGTCCTTCTTTTATTGTGCCATAGCTGGGATTTTAAAACTTTTAACAGAAGTTAAAACTTATAACAGAAGTTATATTTATGTATCTATATTTGATTGATTCAAATACTTGCCACTTTTGTTTACTCTCTGCTATCCCCACTTCGGGCACGTTGATTCATTCCGCAGTGATCTTTCTAGACGGGCTTTGGATCAGGATGGATCAGTCAGGATAAATAAGCAGTGGGGAAAGCTGTGTTGTTGCGCACGAGGGCCTTTTCTAATGTCTTTACTCATGAATGGCAAGGTATCTACTTACAGGAATTTGAACAATTTCCTCATCATATCCTGTACTTGCTGCTCTATGGATTTTTATACCTTGGGTTATGGGTGGAAAATTTGAAGCTTGTCTAATTTTTATTCAGTTGTATGTGACTTTTTTATCATGACTACATATTGATAAGATTTAAAAAATATTTAGAGATATTTCAATAATATATTATTCTAACAATAAGTCTAATTAATCTTCCAACCTGAATACTTTTGGATCAGCAAAACTTATATTTAATATTGAATTAATACTTATTTTGATGTATATTAGCATTTAATACTTAATTATGATTGTTGTATCTATTTCTGGCCCCTTCTTCAGCAATTTCTGTAAGTCCTTTATTCAACAGAGATTTACTGAGTGGCAACTATGTGCCAGACACTGTTCTCAACCTTGGGGATTCATCCATGAACAAAACAAACATTTCACCTTTCAAGAAGTTTAAAATCCTGCTAGGAAAAAAAAAAACAGATAATACAAAGTGAACTTGATGTGTAGGGTGCATGGTGGGATACGTCGCTGGAGGACCCAGGGAAGGTTAGGGTATTCTATCGAATAGCTAGGGTAGGTCTCACAGACCTTTCTCTTGCCCTCATTCTCTCTTTGTCTTTCTGCTTATTTCTTTGTGGCTTCTTTCTCCCTCTCCTATCTTTATGCTTTGTGGACTGTTTCACATGTCCAAATTCTCTATTTGGATTGATTTTCCACAGTGTCAGTTTTGCTATTTTACTGTGACACTGTGACCTCTGCTTTTCCCTGCAATGTTAAAACGATGATTTCCAGTCCACTTCATCAGGTCTACTTCATTTCAGCTCTTTTTCTGTTTGTGGTCTTATCCTCTTGCTTGACAGGTGACAGGCGCTCCTACACCATTTGGGGAATGAGGAACAGAGACCTCTAAATGTGTCTTTTCATTTTCTGAAGTGAAGTCTAGTTTCTGGGAAACAGGTAGACTTGCCCTTCCTTTAACAGTCTATTTATTCCTCAGTAGAGGCTGTGTCAGGCTCTGAGCTGGAGCTACAGCTGGAGGACTGTCTCCTTCAGCTCAGACCTGAAACAGCTGTGGAACCCTGAGGCCCTTTCTTGCAAAGTCATCTCCTTTCTCAGACCTCCAGATGCTGGGCCAGGTACCAGTTGGCTCTATGTCCCAGTGTTCCATGTGATATAGCTCTGAGTGCTGTCTCTGTACCCCTGGGGGGAAGGCCAGTGCACTGGAACAGATGCAGCAGCCATGCCATCCTTGCTTCTCTGCCACTGCAGGCAGTGAAAGTGAAGGTGTGCACTGAATGTGTAGATAAAACAGGGATCAGACTTGTCAGGGTGAGGAGCATGTGGATGACTTTGGTATTCTGGAACCTCCTGCATGCAGCTGTGAGGATGGCGTCGGCATGGTGGGTTACCATCACACCATTTCTCTCTCTCCTGACTCCTGTGCTCCCGACTCCCTGTCTCCTGTGCAGAGCATTCTCTCTTGGCTAGGGGTCCAGCCTGGAGGACAGCCCCCAGATGCTTTCTCCATAGATTCCCACCTTTGGGGGCCTTGGCAAGAAAATAAGCTTTTTAGTTTCTTTCTTGTGCTGCTGTGCTCTTAGTGTATTTTGAACATCTATCTGGGCATTAAGAGGATGAACAGCAGGTACTGCGCATCTGTGTTGACATCATCACAATTACCACCTTGATTTATTCCTTACATGGGCTTAAGAAATCACAAGGCCGAAGCCAGCATTATTATTGCTATCCTAGGATAATCAAACTGAGGTTTTTAGAGGGGAAGTGATATGACTTGCTCTGAGTTATTGGTTTTGTATGGGATGGACCAGTCCTTATCAATGAACCGCTCTAATCCTATTTTACCTACCATCCTCCATTGTTCTTCTATGGCCAATTAATGTATTGTGATCATTTCTATTTATTTTTTATGTTTGTAAGATCTATTTATTATTTTTATTGGAAAAGCAGATTTACAGAGAGAAGGAGAGACATGAGAAAGATCCTCCAAGTGGCCTCAATGGCCGGAGCTGAGCCAATCTGAAGTCAGGAGTTTCCTCTGGGTCTCCCACAGGGGTGCAGATGCTATTGAAGACTATGAGAGCAGGTAGGTACCTCCTAGCTCCTTTACATTTTGTTCTGGTTCTGGTTTATTTCTCACACAAAACTGTATCTGCAGACCCTCCACACATCACTACCCTTTTGGTAGAGAGAAGAACACAAGTGAGTCCCAGGGAGCGGGTTCTGCCCAGGATGGCTTTTCTATTACACAAGGCTCTCCTGGCAGTTCAACCCCAATTGCAGGGGGCTGGCTCCACGTTAGTGAGCTCATTCTTGCCCTGCGCAGTGCCCACAGCACGCACTCTCAGGCACACTGAGGCATTCATGGAAGACGGATCCATAGCCTGCTGGCGACCACAATGCCTCCCTGGCTCGTTGGCTTTGCAGGGCTCCTGCAGTCAGACAGCCTTGCTGGATCTTATTACCCTCACATGGGAGGGGTTCCCTTCAGGGAAGTTCACAACAAACCACCCAAGGACAATTCCTTAGTGAATGGTCTAGCCTTTCCTACAAACACACTGCCATAAACCAATGCTTAGGAAAAACCATTCTCACGTTGGTGGACTCAGTTGGGCATTTCAAGCTTGACCTTGAAGGACTGGTTTGGTCACAACACAGGCTAGGGGGCTCCAGAACCCCCACCCCTGTCAAGCTGTTTAAAGGAGAACTGAAGGAGTATTAGGCAAGAAGTGGACTAACAGCACCACCTCCTTAACCAATCATCTATACTTAAGGACTAGCATTTGCAGAGGAAATCTGGCTTCAAGTTCCAAACCTAAATTTTCAAAGATGAAGATATCAGTTTCAACTGGGTGTGATTCTTGCCTCCCAGAGGATATGCTGTGTTGTCACAACCAGGTGAATGAAGGCTACCATTGCCATCCAGAAGAGAGTAGGAATACTGCTCAACAACTGGTAATGCAAATCCCAGCACAATGCCCAGGCTGCGAGACTTGAATGTGGAAGGCCAACAAAAACTCATCTCCAAGGCCCACAGACCTTCCTTCTGCAATATTCCTCCTCTCCACACACACACACACACACACACACACAGGCTACACGGACCTTTCCTTGCTGGTCTGTCTTGATCTCCCAGCCTCGGGGCAGTTCCAGTCGAGTGTCTGCGAACATGTTGATGAAATTCACCAAGTCCCGATTGTGCTGGTAGCGTTCGAAGTTGCGGGCATCCCGGCGGACTTTGAGAATCATGTGCTTTAAGCAGGTGCTACTGGTGAAGGCGCGGTAGGCACTCTGAGACAGGTGTGGGGGGGTTGGGGTGGAGAGCGGCACATTAGAAGAAACTCAGGCCTCTTGCAATTTGAGCAGCTCAACAAGACTTAGTGCGTTTAATAAGAACTTGAGATGAAGGCCCCAAAGCAGGATGTTTTTTTTTTTTTTTGCTGAGAAATAAACACACAAGCATATATCTGCCATCCTCATCCTGTGTGCCTTCTTAGCAGCCTTGGACACAGCTGCCACTCCCTGAATCTCAAGCTCTCCTCCCTGCCTGCGCCTGCACTGGGTTCGCTCGTGCCTCCCTCATGCTTCCTTCGACCTCTCTGAGCACAGCTCCTTTGGCTCCTGCCTGGCTGGCTCATCTTATGCAGGAATGGACCTTCGACACTCTCACCTGTCTCACACCGAGGATCATTAAGGATTTCAGGAGAGAATTTAGAGCTCTATTAATCGTACAACGCCTATGTAAAAGCTTATATGTGTGGACAAGATGGGAGGAGGGTAAGAAGAGATTAAGCTTAAAAGCTTCTTAAAGTGCTGAATGACACTTTTATGGACATTGGGCTGGGTGTGTGTCTGTGTGTTCAAAGGAGAGAACAGTGTGTGACCAGAAACAGTCGGCCTGGTGGCTTCCATCAGCCCAGGACACACTTGTGCCTCGGGCTAAGTACAGTGCTAAGGATGCTTTGCCTGCTGCAGCTTTGGGCTCCCTCCTGCAGACTTCTCAATAATAGCAGGTTTCTTACTCCTCCCTCAACTACAACCCCCTCATTCATTCAAACTTGTACACCTGCTTGTGCGTGTCCAAAGCAGAAACTGCCCAGTCTTTCTGGAGGTGCTTGAGTACAGAGGAGCCAGCACACTACGCACTGACTGGGAAGCAGCTGGCGCTGCTCGCTGCTCCTGACCGGAGCCTAGCCTTAGCCAGAGAAAAACGCTGTAAGAGACTGCACAGGAGCACCTGGTGCTGCAGCCTCACCCCTGCCTCATGCCAGATCCCAGGGCAACCTGCTGCCTCAGGTAGAAGCTCTGTGCTCCCATCCAGGACACTGCTGGGTGCTGGGCTTCCGACTCCCTGATTCCTCTGCCTCTCTGACAGCTCTCACACTCAGCTGTGTCATATCCTCACCCTTCTCCCTCCCCACCACCACACACACCTGGTGTCTGGCAGTTCCTGGCACTCCTAGGACACTTTGTCCTGTCTCATTACTTGTTCCTTTCACACTCTGTCCCACTCCCTGAGACCAGGAGTGCTTACTGTCTCGTTGCCACCTGATGTGTCTTTGTGATTCTAGAAACCAGATCTGAGCCCAACCTGCAGACGATGTTTATGGACTGAAAGAATCAACACAGTGCTGCCTTACCCGAAAACGTACTTCCCCCCACAAAATGATGCAAAATGTTCTATGTAAAAATCACGTCAATTTTAACTTACTATATTGGAAATACCAACAGAAAGAAATGCATTGATTTATCTAGAAGAAATCAACCTTAACATTTTTTAGGAAAAACAATTTCATGAAATGTTTGCAGCTGAAGGGAATTTGGCAACTTCTCCATCTTGCTCTTTTTGAAAACTGGAACAATAAAAACGTGTGTTTGTTTTCCAAATCTCTTCAACTGATAGTCACAGGTTGGAACCTAATAAAAGCCCAGAGAGGCTTTTCCAGATCCAGCTTTTGTGCTTTTGGGAAAACTCACAGACAGAAGTACAGGTTGTCTTCTTGTATGTCTCGCCTGGGGAAACATTCAGCCCTCCTACGCTCTATCAAATGATTTCACACAGTTGTGTTTGGGTCTTGGCCTCTGCCCTTGGAGCACTCACATAATTGGCATGCAGCACGGTGAAGAACTCAGGGTTGGTGATGAACTTGACCGCTGGGGACTGGAGCAGCAAGGTGATTTTTTGTGAGTTCACCGGAGAAAGCGAGCCTTCTCTCCTGAGATCTGCAAGGGTGAAGCAGAAGCCAGAGGCCATGGGAGAGAGCAAACCCAGCACTTCTCCCTCCATAGCACAGTACCCAGGCCTCCACCCACGTGGCAGCCTGCCACCCTAACAGTGATGCCAGCAGGTGGCAGATCCCTTTATGGAGAATCGTCATTTTCTAATGGTGCTCCTGTATGACATCAGCTACTCCTGCAACCTCTCACATCATCTTGTTTCTGTCTCGATGACTTTTTCCTTGTTCCTTGACAGGCTGCTAACTGTGGCTGTGGCAGACGGTTTCAATGAGGCCACTGGTTGGGAAAAACAGTTCTTCCCTGTTTGCTTTGGGACTGTGAAGCTCTTTCCCTCATGGAATCAGGGCTGGTCTGGTACCTGGATGGGACCAGTAGGAAGTGGTGGGAAAGATAAGGTGTCAGTTTTGAGTCAGGGCTTCATGAGGCCTGTGTGTCTCCACTGTCTCTCCTATATCCCTGCCATTGCCACCACCTGCTAGGACAAGTGTGGGGAGCAGGGACAAGCCAGCTGGGCTGGGGCCATCTCAAACCTGGGAGCCCACAGCCAACCCAACAGCTAAGTAAAGACAGTGTGGTAGCCCACATCCTGAGGAGCCGCTCTGAAGCTCAGTTCAGATACCCAAGCTACAGACTTGGAAGGACAAATGAATGACTGCTTAAGTCACTAAACTTTGCAATGGTTTGTTAGACAGTCAACGCCAACTGAACCCATTCCAAACTCAAATACTTTTTCTTTTCCTTTCTTTCATGTTGCCAAAGGAAGTAATGATAGAAAAATCTCAACTGGTTAGTTAGCTTAGTTAGTATATCTGGCAAAATGAAAGAAAGAGAGGCAATCAGAATCGCTGTTGGAACTTTTGTGTGGATTTGAAAAGAAATCCCTTGAAATTGTCTACTTTTTGCATTGTCACAAAGAGCTGAGACCTGGTGCGAAAACAGTGACAAAGTCTGCTGGCCTACAATTCCCTGAGTCGTCTTTCAGCAAATAATCTGCTTTGGTTTAACTGACTCTAAGAAGAAAACTGATTATTGGGGTGTTACTATGATAATATTACACCATTATAGGTATAAGAGGGACACCACTCAGGACTTTTGACTCAACCTTGACTGAGATCTACTCGGGTAGAATCAAGCAAAGAAACCCAGGTCCAGGTGGACATCTACTGCAGGTCGATAAGATGCCATTGGATGGCGTGCACAACCCCAGGCTCCTCCCTGGGCAGAACTGGCTTTCTTACTATATGCAAACCTACTGTTGTCACATGGCTCATTTGAAATGGACTTTGGGATTGCACTGTGTGACTCGTTTATGAGTGGAAAATCTAAGACATCAGCAAATCAATTATTTTGCAACAAATGATTAAGCCACGGAAGACTGTGACTTGATGAACAAATACCATAGCAAGCTCCACCTCATCCCCAGAATTCATATGCTTCTGTGTGTACAGGTCCCCAGGCAGGGGCGGCAGCTGTCTCCTCACTGAGACCCTGCTGTTTCCTCTAAGCCTCTAAATCTCAACTCTTGCTCTCTGTTGTGGGCAATCCCACGGCACGTGTCTGTCTCCACTACCCTGGTCCTTTGTTCCTTTACTGCCTTTATGCCAGGGTGTCTGGCTATCCCACAAAGTAGCATAGGGACACATATACTTTCACACAGCCACTGGATGCAACCCCAGGAGCCTGGGGACCCCTTCTCCAATACCTAGGCTGGACTGGCATGATTCGGCCTCTGAATCACTCCCTCCACCTCCTGCTGGCACTTGTTCACAGCTTTGGCTGCCAGAATCTTCTTCAGGCCTCTCTGTTGCAATGGTTCGCTGAATATTTTGATACCTTTGCATCAAAAAACAGAAAGGAATGAGTTAATGTTTGCTTATATGCTGGGGGCTGATGCTTTGAATCAGGTAATTGGAGAAATCTTTAAAACGTTGTTTTGAAGGTAAAAAGAAAGTCTCAAATTTCCATAAGTTGACAAAATAATCAGAAGACCCTAGATGATTTGATTTCACCTTGTTGGGTGAAATATGATAAATTTCAAGTATGGTGACTTTTAAAAAATCAACACAAAGAATAACCAATCTTGCAAACTAGCTGAGCCCTGTTACGTAAAATCAAGCTATGTCTAAGACAATGTTGGAAGTCAATTAATATATTACAACTTAGATTTTTAATTACCTCTACATTTTTGTACTAAGGTTACAAAATGAAATAATAATGCTATCCATTTATTTTTATTTGATGGATAATTCGTATGGGTGGCAAAGGTAATAGAAATGTTACACCTGATAGCATGCTGTAGACAAATAATGTTTCCTGCTTATTTGAAGGTCCTTTTGTTTTTTCTTTCCAATTTGGAGATTTGCTGGCCTTTCTGATACGTGTGGGCTCTGCACTGGACTTTCAGATAAGTGTGAGGACACAGACAAGTAAGACCTCCAAGATATCTGAGTTTTGCAGTTAGTCTATAAGCTTGCTGGAGAGTTGGTCTGGAAAGGGCATTTTCAGGAACAAAAACTGTGCAAAAGCAGGGTGCCCTTGGGGAGCTCTGAGAAGTTTGGTGGGGTGATTGGATGCATGGGCACTCAGCATGGGGAGGAGACTCCTGCAGACAGGGGCAGGATGAAGCCCCACAGGATTGGGATGCTGTTATCTGGGGGCCAGCAATTGAACCTACATTCAGTTTACCTATAGAACCTGTTAAATAACACATGCTGGGCCCCAGCCAACTTTCTCATGCAATAAATCTGGGGCAGGGCCTGAATATCTGTATCTGAGTAGTTAAGGGATGTGATGCCACTGCTTGAGGAATCAACTTTGAAAATCATTGCTTTGCTGCTAAACAAGAAAAGCAAGGGACAGGTGCATGTGAACTTAGAATGATCATTCTGCATCCCATATCAGAATGCCTGGGATGGAGCCCCACCTGCACTTCTGATCCAACTTCCTGCTCATGTGCAACCTGGGAGTTAGCAGATGCTGGCTCAGGTACTGGGGTGACCAGGACATGGGAGTTCCCAGGACAGAGTTTCCAGCTCCTGGCTCCCATCTGGGAGTATTTAGAAAGTGAACCGGCTGATTGAAGGTCTCCTTTTGTCTTTAACTTTGTGGCTCTGCCTTTCAAGTAAATAAAAATTTTCCTAAGCCTCATTGCTCTTGAAAGCTGTTCTGTCAATTTCATGTTCCCCCAGGGGCAAGGGTCCAGCCGTCTAGTTCCTTCAGATCTGCTTTCCTGCCTCCAAGTAGCGTCCCAAACCCTTTCTCAAATGGCCTCCCTTTTGCCTAAGATCTCTCAGCCTCTAGCAGGCAGCATCCCTGAGGTTCCATTTCCCTTTTGCCAAGACACAAAAGAAACTGCATAAGGGGACATTTCAAGAAAAAAAAATAATTCTAGTATTGGTAGTAAGTCTACAAGGAGACTCACCAGCAATGGGTGTATGCCTGTATCAGGACTGGGGCAGAGGGACAACATGAAGGCCAAGTTCACAGTTTCCACTTAAACCAGGCAGATAGGGATTTCAGCACTGAAAAGAGCTCAGGTGAAAGAGACGATGTGGATACAGAGATGCTGAAAGTACTAGTCTAAGCTCTCCTTTAGTTTAATTTTCTCTCAGGAGGTTCCTTTAGCTAAAGTAGTTGCTGTGAGGCATCTCCAATGAAAATCTATTACAATCAAGAAGGGGAGGAGTAAGGTGCAGAGTGAACATGAAGCTAGAGGCAGGGATATATTTTAATTTTAGGTCTGTGGGAGGGAGGGTGTGTAGAATTGGCCCTGTATGGCCTTTCTGCTGGCACTCAGTAGTTCAGCTTGCTGGAGGGTGCTGTGGGTCCCTTGGAAGCTGCCTGGGGGGTGGCATCCTGACCAGGAGTGTGTGTTTGGTGGGGTGGGGGTTGTTGCTGTTGAAAATTCCAGAAGCCTCTGCTGAGACGATTCTTCAATGAAATGGAGTAGACTGTGTTTTCCCAAAGCAGGTTCACAACATCTTTAATCACACATGCTCTTTCCAACTGTTACTAACTCCCTTTCAAGAAGCAAAACCTACATTCCCTCTTCTGGGAAGATCTCAGGTTTACCTTGGCTACTATGCTTTCTGTGGCAGACTATGATGGAGCCCCAGGGCCACATTCTGAGGGCATGCATCCACCTGGGAGATTCCTGGACAGGTGTTCTGGCCAACATTCATAACCAAAGACAGCAACAACCTCTGGATATATGAGCCTCTAGTCCCAGTCACCTCCAGCTGAGAAAGAACTGCCTAGCTAGGCTCAGTTAAGCCAGCATTGTAAGAAATAATGTTGGCGCTTGTTGCTACTTAATGCCAGTGTGTTTGGGGTCGTTTGTGACAGCAATAAACAGCTGGAACCATGATTGGACAAATGTTAAACTGTAGCTGCTCCTTCCCTTCTGGAAGCTCAGTGGCCACAGCAAAGAATGATCGGGAGCGATAAGATCTTATATACGGATGACAATGTCAGCAATGCCACAGCTTGCTTCCTTTGTCCTCGGTTGGATGTTGGCTATCTCATGCCTTCTGGCTCAACAGCCTCACCCCCAGGGATTAGAGCTGACCCCTAAGCTGCAGGCGTACTTGGGGAGGCTGGGCACATGGTGACTTGTGGACCAATCTCTCAGGACTGCAACCTCAGAGGCTTGGAAGAAAGTCAGAAAGCTGCCTCTCTTCTGTTAGAAGAGTTTTCCATCAATGTCCTCTCTACTATTCTTGTAGCAAAAGGTTAAACACTCACAGCATATAAAGAGCTCATAGAAATGGGTAAAATATTCTAATACTTGTAAAGCCAAATAAGAATGAAACATTTTCCAAACCAACCATCCAACCACCCAACCAAGGAACAACAAGAGAGCTCAAGGACAGAGAGCTCACATGAGTGGAGCTACAATTATCCAAGAAAAGTTTATGTAAAAACTTGAACTCTTTCTGTAAGAAGTAGAATATGAGCACTGGCAAGATGCCAGAAGCATTTGCTGAATCAGCAGACATAAACAAAAGGTAAGATGCACGTGAAGCTACCATGGACCCTCTGAAAATAGGCAGTGATCTAAAGTGCCATCTGTCTCCCCTGACTTGCTCATTTGGGCGAAGAGTCCTAAGGAAGCGCTGTTATAAAGACACTCTTAGTATTTAACAGACCATTGCCAGCCTCATCAAAACAGTGTTAAAGGCATTAAGCAAAGCATTCAACAAGATGAGAAATAAAGCTAACTGAATTATAGCCATTAATGGAATACTATATAAGCACTGAAGGTTAATCAGAGGATAATGCAGCAGTATGAAAATGCTTGTAATATAGCAAGTAAAAAAAAAAAAGTCACTGTAGAATCATACAAGATTACTTCCAAAAGTTCATAGAAAGTGCAATTAAAATGTGTGTTTTGCTACAAAAGCTTTTTAAATTCACACATGACTTTTCCTTAATATGTAGCTCCATGAATTTTTCGGCGAGCCCTCATACGCATGGATTTTTGACACCAAAATAAACTTATCATTGAATTTCATTTTCTACCAACTTTTTCTTGAAACCCCCTCACATATTATTGTTATGTGAGAATTGTGCATGCTTATGGGAGTTGAACGTGAATGTATTGCTTTTAGAAAGGTAAATTATTTGGGTAGAAGAACTGTATGCCATATTTTTGCATTTAAAATGCCAATTTCCTTTAGTATTCTAATAATTTCTCATAAATAGCTAAAAATGAAACTGAAGGGCTATTTAGAATAAGATACATATTAATATTTTCTGCTTGCTCAGTCACTACCAGTGAAAGTAGAGCTAATTCTGGATATACTCAAAGACGAGGCATTCACTTACAGCAATCTGATGCTGATTCCTGTTAAACTTCTGCCACTATACAGATGTCAGGGTGGATGTTGCTACCAGGAAGAATAAAGTCAGAGAAGGGAGACCCTCACATGCGGCTGCACACTCAGGATGATGATGTCACTGCAGGGGATGATGTCACAGGTTCCCCGGGGAGAATTCTGGGAGAGAATCAGAGTGTGCAAAGCACTCAAGCCAAGCCACAGGCTGAGGAGACATGTTCCAGGCAGCAGGCAGAGTGAAGGATGCCCCCACAACGGAGCCAGAAAGGCCTGAACAGGGTCACCTATTCAGCTGACCATGCCAGCCTCCATGTGGCCAGTGTGCACCCTGCACACGTCCTGCAAGAACACGGTGGACCTTCACCCCCACTTAGCAGGGACTCAGGACTCCTTCTTACAATACCAGGAGATATTTTCATTTTCCTATAGGATAGTGGTGACTTTAAATTTCTCCTGGTGAGCGTAAGTTATCAAACAAACAAAAACAACAAGAGCAAAAACAAAACCTGTATGTGTGATCACCTGTGAGATGGATGAGAGATTTGCAGTTAAGCTCTGTGGCTGCCGTTAGCATACTTAATTACCGAAAATTTCACATACTCAGAAGCCATAGGTTATGAGAAGGAGTGATAAGCCTAGATACTTAGTTGAGGTTAACTGGTATTTCCAAGGTAGGCTTTTTCACAAGAAGTAAGCATGTTCTCAGGTTGCTAAATTCCTTTTCTGTCTACCCAGATGGATGCTGCAAATACATCTTTGCACTCAGCAAAGCCTGGGTGTGTCACCCAGCATGCTCAGCTCCCCTGGATGGCACAGGAATGTCTGTGAAACTTCTTGGGGGTGGGGGAGCTGCTTCCACAGGGACTTTTAGGTGACATAACATGAACCCCTGGATGTTTCCAGACCTTTATGATTTAGGGCAAGGCGTTTTCTTCTGTTTCAGATTAGTTGCCCTGCTTTGTTTAGTGTTCAAGAAGTACCTCTTGTAGATTTAGACTGCTGGGACTCTCCTCTATCAGTGTACTGAACAATGTCATCCTACCTGTTCTGGCAAGACAGGTTAGGCGTCAAACTTGAGCCTAGGAACTGCAGCAGGGACTCTACAAAGGAGCTTGCTGAGTCCTCTACATTTGTAGTGAGAGGTGATTGGTTGCCTCAGGAGGCAGCAAGTGATGATGCAAAGTAATTGGATTCCTGCCACCTGTGCGGGAGACCTGGATTTAGTGCCTGGATCCTGGCTGTAGCCAGGTACTGGCTTGTTTGTGGGCACTTGGTTATGAAACCAGCAAATGGGGAATAATCTTTCTCTCTCTAGGTGTGTGTGTTTGCCTTTCAAATATACAAAATGAATAAATAAAAATATATTCTAAAGTATTACTATGAATATACATATAGCGATTATGACAATCAGGGTAGAAATCTACACAGTGATTTACAAAACAGCTTTTTTTTTAGCCTTCAACACTCTCTGGGAATATTCTTCACTGTTTGAATTCTATCAATTTGAGAATCTTCTGATGGAGAAGGACCAGTGTTTCTGTGAATATTTTTGCATAACATTCCTGGAAGGTTCATGAGACACCGAGATCCTTGGCAATACTTGGGAGGAGGAGGGGGTGGGATGGTGCATTGGTTTCTGGCTGGGAACCTCTGTTTAACAAGCCTGGGCCATGATCAAGATCAGAGCATTTCTAATCTGGAAGTGACACCTGCTCACTAGACCTGTTCTCCTGCTCCTAATTCTAGACCTGAACGGGTTTCTATGATGACAGTGAACTCTGTCAGCTCCTTTCCTGTCACTGTGGCTTTTAGGAGCTCACTGCATACTGATCACCAACCGCCTGTTGAGTTGCTCCATCTGCTGGATGGATCCTGATCGCCGCATCCCATCCGGAGTGGCGGCTGCTGTCGGACGCTGCCAGGTGGTCGTGCGGTTCACGTGGTCCACATAAAAGACCCGCCCGTGGCTGTCAATTCGAGCTTCCCAATCTAATGTTTAATGGGGGAAAAAAAAGGCAAGAAGACAAATCAAGGACAAACAACGGACCCCTGAGAAGCAGACACCACTTCTGGGCCCTCTACAAGTAGAACTCACCATTGGTTTGCTGCGGAGGCGGGACATCACCGTTTTCACCTAGCAAGGTTTCTGGGGGGGGATGGACTCAGACATTCCAGAAAAAAACTTCTCATTTCAGCTTTCTGGATGGGGCACTTTAAATAATCATTGTGGTCCCTTGAACACAAACTATCCCGAAACCTCAGTGCCTTGAACAGAACAAGTCTAAACACAGCAGAGCAGTCTTTCTTTAGGACAGTTTTGGGAGACTGGACGTGAGCCATGTTTAGAGCCGACACTAGGCCGGAGCACCTTCTCCTCTAACTCTACCAGGGCTAGTGGAGGGCACGGTTCTCACATTAAAGTTAGCTTTGCCTTTTGACTTAAATGCCATATTTGCAACTCCACTAACTTTTAGCAAACTTACTAAATAGCCTTCCCTTTGGAGATGGTGAATAAAAGAATTTGATCCCTGGAGCTTCAGCACATCCTTTCGATAAATTATAACCCTACAGTATGTATTCAATTACCTGCGGCTGCCAAATATTTCTAAAGCATACCAATGACCACAGCTAACAAACACCCAACTTTTAGACAGCTCTTGGCTCCTAAGTAATCCTTTCAAACAGCAGGGGGAGCCCAAGATAAGGACAAGTTTCTTTGCTTCCCAAGCACGGAACAACAACAAAAACCACACAAAAACTAAAAAGGTAGAAGCAAAGATGATCCACTACATGATACATGTAGGGAACAGGCGTGGTGAAGCACATGAAAATGGCCTCCAAACGGAACAGGCTGGAAGTAATGTGTTCATGTCTGAGCTTAATGTTTGGAAGCAATGTTTGCTGGAGAGAAACGTGCAATGCTTTCACAGTTCCCATGTGAAAACATGGAACACATGGCAGTATCATGATAGAGTTATGCTAGGAATGTATTATACTAAAAAAAAGTGCAAAAGCAAAAATGTTTGTTAAGAGGAAAGACCCACCTGTGAACAAAAGGAAAGCTATAGCTTTGGAGAGTAGATCGGTTATTGACAATTCTGTTGAAAACTTACCATTCAGGTAATGACATAGCAACTTTCAATTTTTTAATGAAAAAAAAATACACATGGTTTATTTCTGAGACTTAAGTTTATGGTTTATCTGTGAACATTATGGGCTGTGACTGAGCTGAGGAATTGCCAAATAATGCTCAGTGGAAATCAAAATACTAGAAAACTCTGAATTGTAATTTAGAAGACAAACAGAGGAAAAGTGTAAGGAGAGTGTGTGAATGTTTGAGTGAAATGTGCATCTAGGGGATCAAGGCAGCAACTCGTAGGTGTCAATGTTAATTAGCTCACTTGTCAAAATGTATATACCGGTGATGACTTTGTTATTAATCTTGATCACAAAATACTGAGATTTCAATGGCTGTCTAATTAATATTAGTAAGTGCAATTGGAAAAAAATTTTCATTGAATCCAAGCTGACTGCTGTCACCTTTCATAGTACTGAGTTTGCAGCTATGAAATTCAACTTGAAAAGACCTCCTCTTAGCACATTCTAGGAAGCAGAAGTGAGGCCAGGAGCCAAGGACATGGAGCTGAGGGACACACCTCCCCTCGGGGCGGTGGCACTGAGTGCCACACAGACCGAGCTGCTGTCCCACAGGATCTCCCAGGGGAACACTTAGAGGACGAGGCCACGACAACAGTGCCTCCTCCCCACCTGTTTCCTTATTTTCAAGTCACTCACAGAAATGCAGGGCAAACCACACAGACAGGACACATGGTGTTAATCATCTACTAATTGCTGAAAAATTAGACACTTTTTAAATATTCGGGAAATAACAGGTCACTGGCGTCAGTAATTGTAAGTGTTGTTTTGTAATTCTAGGTCATTTTGTAAAAATTGACTTGCATGCATTTTATAACCAAAGAGAAAGTTCCAGATGGACCTTCAGTATTTAACATGATCTTATGGACTCCTTACTGGGATGCCTTGAATTTGCTTCCAAAGACACCTAAAAGCAACACCTATATGATGCTGGTGCAAGTTGGTGTAGCATGGGCAGGTCAATTGCTTTCTAACTGAAAGGTCTATTTAACACTAAATTACATATTTTCCATGAAGTCTAAGAATAGTGGAGAGCCTTATGATGTACCATCTTTAGTTAGTATATTAACAAAATTCTGTAAAATTATATATTAAAAACTTTAGCAAATGCAATATGATGATTATAATCTAGACCTATCAAACTCCAGATACACCTCTGCTTGCCTTGGTGTCACTAGGAGGCTGACATATCAAACATAAAATGACTTGAATCAAGCTTCAGATCTTTCCTACCCAAAACTGCTCACAGCCTCACTTCCTGTTTTAATTGAAGGTAGCACCATCCTTCCAGGATAACCATCCTGGGTCATTCTTGAATTCTATCTTTTTCTTACATCTGTTCCCCATGCATTAGCAAATATACCTTCAGAATATGCATGTGTCCAGGAACTGACCACATCTCACCACCTCCGCTGTGTCCACCCTGGCTCAAGCCACCATCACCCTTGGTCACTGCAATTATCTTACATTGGATCCTGAGTTTTATTCCTTTCTCCTCACAACCCTTTCTGTACATAGCAACTAGGGGAAACCTTTCAGAATCCAAGGCAGCATCATTCTTCTGCTTAAAACCCTCCACTGTGGTGGGTGTGCAGATACCCCACGCATGTCCACAGTCTAGGTCAGAGTAGCTTGGATGGGATCCCGGCTATGAACTCTTGATCCCAGCTTCCCACTAATGCGCATCCTAGGAGGTGGCAGGTGATGGTTCAAGTACTTGGGTCCCTGCCACCCAAATGGGAGATCAGGATTGATTTACTTGTTCTTGAGTTAAGTCCAGCCCAGTCTCAGCTGCTGATGTGTAAGGCCCTATGGGACCTGAGTTCTGCTGTCCACTTAACTTCACTCCTGCTGCTTTCCCTTTCCTCAGTTGGCTGCAGATGCACTGGTCTCTGTTCCTTAAACCTACCAGGGTGCTTTGATACAGGAGCTGGGGTGGCTTTTGCTTTTGGCTGCGAATTTCTTTTTTCCTAATGCGTCTGTAAATAACTCCCTTACCCCTTTTCCTGTGTGGCGTTCCCAAGGGAGCTATCGCCTGCTATGCACAGAACCCTTATTCTGGCTCTACTTTTGCATGTCCATAGCCCTTGTCACCATCAGTATGCACACTAGTCTCTTGCCTACATGTTGCTTTTGTTGTTTGTAATCTCTCTGTTTAACTTACCTAAAACAGTATCTACTACAGAGTAAGCATTCAACAATGTGTCTTCAATGAGTATCAATAAGGAGGACACTTATGTACTAGTTGAAATTACCTTCAAAAGCCAATTAGCAGGATTCCTAATACCTTTTTATTAACATTTTTTAAGGTTGTGGGGATAGAAAATTGAAGCCTAGCCAGAATAAAAGATAATTTTCATTAGTGTAAGTAGCTTATATTAAGTAATTATTTTCAAATGAATATATGCTAAGTTACTTATAACATCTTCATGGCTAGCTAGGAATTAGGACTGCATAGTTTGCAAGTCAACTGCATTCAGGAACGAATGGGTTGGTTTCTTACGGGAAAATTCTCTCTTCCTGGCTATTTTTCAGGTAAGTGCTAAGTAGGAGATATTTATAGTGACACTGAACATCGCTATTCATTTATGGAATATCCATAAACCAGTGTATAAACAAAGAAGCCAAACATCAAAAGCTGAAGAACATGTTTGGCATGGCTCTTTAAGAAAACAGTGTTCTTTTAAGATATTTCACACATTAAAGATGTTCACAGCATTATTGGTGATTAAGTACAGTTAAGCAGCCAAAGAAAGGCATACATCACACAAAACACATCACAGCACCAAGAACGGATGAATTAAGTAATAAGCATTTCTGCTTTTCAGAGTTCCCGCTTATTGTAAGCACAAGAAAAAGAATGTGTGAAGAAACACTGGTTCCTTGTATCCTGGAAAAGTTTTACAGTTTTAAAATCCATCCAATCTTAAAGGTTGCCTTTTATCTAAAAAACAACCCTAAAACAAAACAGAAATATTTTAGAATTCACGAACATATGTTGATGCTAAGGGAATATGCCATTTCTGGGGTATCAGTTTCTTTTTATGAATTTATTAAATGCAATATGATAAGGTTAAAGCTGGGGTGACACTTGCAGACTACCTAACTGAAGCCTACCTTTTACAGGCGAGGATATTGAATTTCTATGTCACAAGTGACAATATCAAGTATCTGAGACGGCAAATGAGTGCCAAGTTCAGATGGCTAGTTAGATAACTGTTAACTATGTAATGTAGTTACTAGGAAAAAGATAATGGATTCCATCCCAAATGTGTTCTATCTACTTTGCCTGGCAACCCTCAAACACTATGTAAGAAATTTGGAGCTAAATACTTGTTAAAGCAGATGAAAGTTCATGGGCTAAGGGACTGAACCGTAGTTACTCAGAGATGTCTAAGACATAACATATCAAATGGAGGAAAACAGAATTTTATATCTTTAAATATATATTTTAAACATAAAAATTGGGACCTAAAGTTCACAGTTTTCAGAAGTAGTGAAGTCTTACAAACAAATCGTATCCATTTCAGAAACTGACAGATGATGAAAATGCTCTGTTGTCTTTCCAAGATCACAGGTTAAAACCACCGCCATTTATACAGTAGATGCCATGTTGCTTTTGGATAACTTTGAGGTCTAGCATCACAGGGGAGCTCGGACGTTGACATCACAAATTCATACTGACCTGGTTACACTCGACAGGAAGAGTTAAGACATAGATTTGAAAAACTAAAGCTTACTTGGTGGAAGAGGCTCATCGATTGTTGGGTAGTGGTGATGCTCAGGCCTCAGGGAAGGAAGCTGGCTTACTGGCTGGGAATTATGGAGTATAGGACATTCACCTATGGACAAGATAGTCAAGACATTCAGATTCATTCATTGTTGTGACAGCGTCATCCAAAAGCGTGACTGTAAAAACAATTTTAAGAAATCACCCCCAAAGAGTGGGAAATTGTGTGTATGTGTAGGTTTGTTATACAAATAGCCATCTATGAGAGACAGGATCATTAAAACACACACATACACATACAAGGGAAAAAACTCCAAACTTTTCCTGACAAGTGATCTGTGCTCCCTTGACCAATACGTAGCATCCGAGTCTGCTTCTGGAACCGCTTGGGTTTTTCTGAAGGGAAGGTGGTGCCAGAAAGGAACACAAGAGAAAAGTTAGGAAAGGAAGTGTGGCATTTAGATGCACCATAAAAACTCAGTGGTCATGTGCAGAATTTCGTCCCATTTGGATGGGTTTCATCAGAGGGCTGCCAAGAAGCCTTTATTATTATTATTTTTTAATGCTTTTTCTAGAATGAAATTTTCTGATAGTTCCTTTCCAAGAAGAGATAAGAGGCTGGTGGGTGGAGAAGGCAATGCCTGCAGGAGGGAGCCAGGGGCTGGGGCTCCAAGGGGCTTCCAGCATCCTGTAACTGTTCTGCATTACTCTGCCAATGGACCAGGTAGGTAAGTTAGGGTACTCTGGACAGCCAAAAGGACAAGAGACACGGGAAGTAGGTAAAAGGCAGGAAGATTAAGACACGGAAACTTGACACACAGAAGCAGGCAAAAAAGAAGACAAGACAGGGAGAAATGTAGAAGCAAACATCATATCCACAGAATGCACGCCTCAGGCTGTTTTAGATTCTATTGCTGCCAGTTCACACTTAAGATGAACTGAGCCATGCTGTTTCATGAGGTCTTCAGGTGAATAGAGTAGCCATGTGGACAGAAAATCTACAGCACCTGTTGCTTTGGTCCCAGAATAAAAGGTCCTGGCTCTCGCTCTTTGGAGAACTAGAATGGCTGAGACATGAAATGGCTTCCATCCGGCTCCAGCCTGCATTCTGCCTGACTCACATCATGCTGGTCACAAAATCCCACATTAGTGAGAGGACAAAATTGGGATCCTTTGTCTCCTCCACAGCTGATATCAACAGCAAATATTCATCATCCCTTGGATCAAAAGGGATGTGAAGACAGCGGTTCAGATCTTTGTGGGGTAAACACAAATATTCAATTCCTGAATTGTCCCTAGAATGTCCACACAGGGAGAGGAGGGTTGCTTCTTCTCTCACTAGTCCCGGAGAGCTGATCAAGAATAGAATTCAATTAGGAAGAAAGTTAGATGGGCTTAATTTTAGCAATTTAATTCCTAGAGCTAACTAGCAAAACAAAAAAAAAAAAAAAAAAGAAAAAAAGAAGGAGAGAGAGAGAGAAAAGAGAGAGAGGTGTAGTCAGGAACGAAAGTCTTAAGGCCTTTTTAATGTGAAATGTGTAACATAAACAAAACATCATATTGCTTCTGGTGCCTGCTCTAGTATGTTCCTTGAGACCTCTTGCCTTTGGGTACAGCAATGGAGATTAAGGCGGCTGAGTTCTTGTGTCGGCTGATTGTGGGCAGACTGCCATTCAAGCAGTTCTGTGTTTAAACATTCAACATTTGTTTTTGGTCATAGTGTCATAGATGGGAAAAAAGTGGTGTAGTTGTTATGTCATCAGCTGCTTCATTTTGAATTTAGTTTCTTTAAAAAAAAAATCAGCAAACTTACCTCATTGTAATTAATTCAACCAATCAGTTTAATTACTCCTCCAAGCTAGCAGAATACAATATTCTCATTTGCCTGGGGTTAATGGACCTGACCCCAGCTGTTTGTGAATCCCAAGCAATGCAATGATGTGACTGACACTTGTCAGGCAGTTGAATGGATGGAGTGCACTTAAGGAAGCAAGCCGTTCTGCTTGGTGCAGGGATGTGGCTCTCTGCAATAACCCTCACCTCAAACTCAAAGCCAGTGTGCACATCCGCTCGGCCTGGGAGGAAGGATGTGTACTCTCCATGGAAAGCATATGAGGCCCTTTGAAATACTCTCCCATTTATAAATATCAAGACCCAGTAGTTGAGAAAGATAGATTGTGACAATACCATTTCAAGCAGAGTGATTTACACGTATTGTAACATTTCTCCCTGGATAACACGGTGCGGGCCCTATGAATTCCAATGATTGTTGTGGATGCTTTATATCACAGTTTTAAATACTGACCTCTGTTTATCTGGCCTTATTCTTGTGAGAGGCAGAGCACGGTACGGTATCACCTCGTGGAATTCTTCCAATAATCCTTTGAAGTAGATTCTACCAATTACACCCATTTTGCACCTAAGTAAACTTAAGTAACTTGATAAGGAAATAGCAGGACTGAATGTCTATCTGGTATGACTGCACCCCATTGTATCACTCTTTTTATTCCTCCACAGGTTTTTACTTCATTTTGTTTTATTTAAGGCTATTTTCAATGGACCTTAAAGGAGAGGTTTTTATGGAGGGAAAAGAAGCAGAAAGTAAAAAAAAAATGCTGCCTTTTACAACGGACAGTTTAGGCTTACACTGCACTGCCTTCCACAAGGTGCACCTCTGCAAATTGCTACAGATCCACTTAGTTGAGCTTGCATGCCGGGAGTCCATCTCGGCTAATCTACTGCCACTTCCTTAGTGGAAGAAGGAGTAGTCTTAGCAGTCCCTGGAAGGGGGCAACAGTGACTTCTGCGGAGGCACAAGGCAGCAATACAGGCTTCTATCAGGAGGATGTGCTGCAGCCCTGTTGCCCTGACAACTGCTCTTGTCAAACCTGACACCCTACCAGCTATCGCTACTGAGTAGGGCACGTCCTGCCGTGCAGCCAGTGCCCAGGTGTGCTGGCAGCCAGAACATCAACAGAGCCTCTGGGTGTCTTATTTCCCCTGGTCTCTTGCCCTAGAGAAGCTCGCGGGTGCTTCTGGATCTTTTCTGACTGGATCACCTGCAGATCTCACGCATTTAGAAATGCCGCGAGCAGGTGTCCTGCACAAACTTCCATGAAAGCTGGAGAACAGGCTCCTGCCCTCCTATTATCTGCCTCCACCCAACTCCACTGCTCACTGCTCGCCCCTAAAGAGCATGACCCGCAGCTTTGCCTAAAAAAATTTCAAATAAAATGCACGTGCATGTACATTTATGGCAAGCCCATTTTCAGCTACTCATGTGTGGGCTGTCTCCCAATGTGGGGGGCCAAAACACTCTATGGACTAAACCAGACATTGTCGTGCTTGGAGCTAGGAATAGCTATCATACCTTTAAATGTTAAAAAAAAAAATGAAAAGTTTTTGGGTGAGAACAGTTCCTTGATTTACCTCTTCATCTACAGAACCTAAAATATTCCCTGACTCCCCATAGAAAAAGTTGACCACGCTTTGGCCAAACACCCCTTCCGGCTGCTCTGTATGGCTTCTGATGTGGTACTCCCCAACTCTTCTATTCTTTTTAATTATGATACAATAACAGGGTGCCTCCTGACTATGACCTAGTGCCAGGCCACCCTTCTGTGCTAAAACAAAGTGTGTTCTGGAAACATCTTGGTTAAGGATTGGAACCTTCTAGTCCCTTTCCGCTTCCCATGGCAGCTCTCCTGTGTCTTATCTCACCTGGGTTTCACTTCCTTGCTGTGTGATTCTCTCCCACACTACCTTCGCTAACCTTTCTTTCTGTGCGATGTGGAACTGGACACTGTAGAATACTTGAGATTAGTTTCGATGCTCAGAAGGCTTGCAGGTGTCCATACAGCAAACACAAGGGAGTCACAGTTCTGGCCCTCGATGAGCTTACAATCTAGAGAGAATGCCACCGCTTTTTGTTTGGAGTCTGATTGCAACAGCAGGACCTCCAAAAGGCAAAAGTCTGTGTTGTTCTCTTTTGAAACCATGACCTGGGGTTAGTACCTTCCACTCTCCCCACCCCCACTTGACGTCATGGTCATAATCCTGGGTAAAGAAAGGCAAATTCAGGTAACACAGGAACCCCGCCCCCCCACAGGCATGGCTGCGAAGGAAACATCTCTCCGCTAAAACACAGGATGCACCTTTAAGGCTAAAAGTGGCACATATTCGGTTGGAACCTTATTTGAGACAAAGTGACTTATGCATTCATGTATTCTTTCCTTCTATTCGCAAAGACAGCCAACAACATGGACAACAAAAACACAACCAACAAGGATAAGGAGGACTGAGCACAGAGAAATCATGACAAGATGCAGGCTGCATAGCCATCCGTACACAGGCTCAATTCTAAGCAGAGGAAAATCCGTGTTCTTCAACTACCGTTAGCACGTCTTGCTAATCTTCAGTATGTCTGGGGAAGTTAGCGGGAGTGTACACGTTATGTACCCCCCGGTGATGAGGGATTGCTCCCGCTTCTATAGCTCCATATGGTCTTGGTGCTCGGGTTTTGTGGCTGTTAAGACCAAAAGGAACAGGGGACACTAACCAGTTCTGCTGAGGAAGCAAGACAGGGCGAGCAGCACACATACAGGGGCACTCACATCCAAGCGCTGGGAGTCTCAGGACGCAAGGGGACAGGGAGCCGGTGCCAGCTACTCAGACAGAGACACAGGCACACGGAGATGCACCCGACAGCCATGCGCCGCCTCAGCTACCCCCGCCCCGTGTGGGCAAACCGCGTCCCCCTGGCGGGCCTAGCCTCAACTCTGATCAGCTGTGAGGTCTAACCTTCTCTGCGATGGCTCGGCCCTGCCACAGGTGACTCCAGGCCTTCAGCGGTTCTGGCCGCGGTCCCGCCGCCAGGGCCGCCAGAAAGCTCGTCGTGCCAGGGCCCCACACCGTTGGCCGACTCCAGGTCCAGCTCGGGGCTCTGCACTGAGTCGGGCACCGACTCGAAGGCGCTGTTCTCCTCGTCGTCGTCGTCCTGCGAGGAGAAGACGGTGCTCTCGGACATCTTGGCGCTGTCCACGGAGGAGAAGCGCGTGTGGCTGGCGAACCTGCTGCCGCCGGGGTAGCAAGAGGCACTGTGGCAGGAGCTGCTGTAGCAAGATGTGCTGTAGCAAGACGAGCTGTAGCACGAGGGGCTGCAGCACGATGCGTCGCAGCCCTCACAGCTGTGCTCACCGCCCTGCCGCGGGCTCGAGTCACTCTCGCTGCCCGTGCTCGGGTGCATGTCGCCGTCCAGCAAGGCGCCGTTGGTCATACCCGGCGATGGCTCACTGGAGTGGCTGGCGGACTGGGTGGCCGGTGGAGCGCCCCGACGACCTTGTCTGTGGTCGTCCATGGCGGGCAGTTCGGTGGCCACCGTGTCCATCTCGCTGAACCCATCCTTCTCAGAGGAGTCCTTGAGCGTGGACTCCTCCTCGGCGCCATCCTCGTCCTCGGCTGTGCCCCCGGCCTGTGCGGAGGGCAGGCTGTGCAACAAGGTGTGGATGCGGATGTAGTGTGTCCGCGGCGTTTCGGGGTCCCCACAGGCCGACGCGATCACCGTTTCCAGCTCCGACACCGGCAGCGAACATGGCCGGTTTTTCCTCTTCCCTGAACCCCGCAGCTGCCGCCTGCTCTCACTCCGCTGTAATGTAGACACATTCCCCTCCTCCTCCTCTTCCTCCTCCTTCCCCTCTTGGATGCCCTTTTCCTCCTCCCTGCCTCCAGCCAAGCTCTCTGTCTGCACTTCTAGCGCCCCGGGTTCCTCTGCGCCTCCCTGAGGGTCACCATCTTCCAGCAGCAGCAGCAGAGGCGCCTCGTCCCCCAGGTCCAGCCGCTCGGCCAGTTCCTCTGCACTCGGGCCGGGCTGGCTGTCCTCTGGCCCCACTGCCAGGAGCTCCCCAGCCTCTTCAGGTTCCACAGACTCCACTACACCCTCTCCCGCCTCTGGGGCACCTGCTACTTCCTCAATGGGCCCGGCCTGTTCCAGGCTCCCAGAATCGTCCACGATGCTGCCCTCACCCGGCAGCTCGGGCTTGGAGCTCTCCCCTGGCTCTGGGGTGTCACACACAGTGTCCCCATGACTGCTTCCCATCAGGTGGTTCATGGGGTTGTCCTGACTTCCTGTCGACTCAGGCTCGGTGCTCATGGACATCTCCTCATCATCTGTTGGTGAAAAGAAAAACCAGTCATTCCTGGAGGACAGAAAGATGGCGCTCGTTGGCCTTAGACATGGCTAAGAGGTTCCTCAGTAGGCTATTGGATGAAGGCATTGAAGAGGATTTCGCCTTGGCCACAGCTCTGCTGAAGAACTCAGTAAAGAATGACTTCTTCTTATGTGAAGGACAGCTTGCAGTCCTGGGCATATCATGGCATTTTTAAAAGCTCATTTTAGGGCCCAGTGCTATAGCCTGTCAGCTAAAGTCCTCACTTTGCACGCACAGAGATCCCAAGAGGATGCCAGTTCTAATCCTGGCTGCCTAACTTCCCATCCAGCTCCCCACTTGTAGCCTGGGAAAGCAGTCGAGGATGGCTCAAAGCCTTGGGACCCTGCACCCACATGGGAGACCCAGAAGAATCTCCTGGCTCCAATTGACTCAGCTGCAGCCATTGCAGTCAACCAGCAGATGGAGTGAACCAGCAGATGAAAGATTTTTCTTTCTGCCTCTCCTCCTCTTTGTATATCTGCCTTTCCAATGAAAATAAATAAATGTTTAAAATAAGCTCTGTTTAAGCTTATTTGAAAGCCTGAGTTAGAGAAAGAGAGGAACAGACCTAGATCTTCCATCTACTGATTCATCCCCCCTCCATTCCATGGCTACACCAGCCAGGGCTGGGACAGGCGGATGCCAGGAGATTCAACCAGGTCTCCTGCATTGGCACAGGGAGGGAGACACTTGGGCTCTCTCCCAGTGCTTTCCCAGGCCAGAAGCATGAGCTGGGTCAGAGTTGGAGTAGTCAGGACAAGAACCAGCATCTACTTGGGATTCCAGCTTTGCGGGCAATGGCTTTACTTGTATGCCACAATGCTGGCCATATATTTCAGAATTTTGTTTCAGGAGGATTTAATTGTTAAAATGTTCAAAGCCTGGCACCACGCTAGTTAGAGGTATACAGTAGGTGCTCAACAGTGTTGCCTATGTGGAACGACTTCCAGGAATAGGGTTGTGTTTATGTCCAGAGCTTCCTGATGAGCCCCGGAAATGCTGATTGCACTTGCTTAGAATATGCCCCGTGAGTGGGTCTGGTCTGATGGAAGAATGGGTTCTTGGGCAACTAGAGAAAAGGATGGGATGACAGATGGGGGCAGCTGAAGTTGCTCCACAACTCAGACTAGCAGATTCCCAATAGATACAGTTGATTGCAACAGAAAAACCAACATAATCCCCATTTAGCAGTCATTCAAGGAGCCTTACACCTGTTCAACCTGACCTTCTTCCCAGCTGTCCAAGTGATCCTCGCCAGATGCAAACCTACCATCTCAAGTGCACTCTGGCACTGCATCAGTTGAGGAGCAACAATGTTTGGTTAAGCTGCTAAACCATCTTTATGGTTACACTGAAGAAAATGTACCTCATGCTCAGAGTGTAAAGGGTGAATGTGAAAGGATGAGAGAGTTGTGTTGTCTTATAAGCTGGTTGTACATGGGGTATAGAACAATGCTACTGAAACTCAGAGAGTCTGCAGTTTATATTCTAAGTTCTGAGGTTCTTCAGTGGACGTTACAGGCACTCATCAATGTAGCCGGGAGGGCCTGTCAATTCTCAGCATGGTCTATACTTAGTATGAGGGTTCTGGGAAACAGCCAGAGATCAATTAGGAGGCATCTCAACATTTTTATTTGGAGATTTGTCAATCTCAAAAACTCAACACTGGATGATCCTGAAATGCTCTGACTTAGATATTCTATTTTCTTGGCAATATTAAAATTAAGGTCTATTATCCATTGAGGAATAATAAACAGAAGCTTCTCATTCACTCATCCATGCATGCATTCATTATTCACTCCTTCTTGGATACTGTGATCAACCATCCACTGGGTACACGGTGTCAAACGTTAGATACGACAGGCACTACTGCCAACCCCCCATCCCACTGTCTAACCCACTGTCTCTGGGTTACCAGAATAAAGAGGAGCTTCTCATTGAAAGAGACAGCAACTTGGTTTCCAGAATAGATTTCTGGCTTCTATGCCTCAAAATGGAGAAGGCAGAGAACCACAAAACCTAGGACATGTCTGGAGAGAGCTCTGGTTACTGTATTTTAGAGAAAAGAATCACATTACAGCACTAGCCTAGGACAAGACATGAAGTTCATGCTGAAAATACCTGGGTGGATGGAGGAAGTGATTTCAAATCGGAACTGCAGCTGTCCACTCACATGATCTGTTGGAAGCCTGCGGCCAAGTGTGTAGCTGACCACCCTATCCCTAGAAAGAAATAGGTACCATCACAGAGCTGGCCAATACCTCTCCTCTTATAGATCATACAGTGTGCTTTCTACATCGGTGTGTGACATAAACAGGCCCAGGGAGCTCTGACTGTAAGAGGTGACGGGCTGCACAGGTGCGTATGAAATGATGCTAAGGTAAAAATGGCAAAGTCCATGTGCTCAGCAGTCATGCAGAACTGTAAGGAAATCCTTACTGAATATTATAAAACATCAGTCAGCACCACAGCACTACAAATCGGGCTCATCTCTTGTTTATGTACTGCCATGAGCTTTTCACATTACAAAATGGTTTGAGGAGAAATGAAAGAATATTTTGTGGCCTGTGAAACTTGTATCAAAGTTAAATGTCAGTGTCCAGAAATAGCCTTTCGTTGGAATGGAGCCCTGCTTTTCAGTTTATGAATTGTCTGTGGCTACTTTCATGCTGAAGTAGTACAGGTGGGTAGTTTAGACAGAGATCATGTGCACTGCAAACCTGAAATACTTTCTATGCACTCCTTTACAGAAATCCTGTGCTCCTAAGAGAAAAGGGAATGAAAAGGAAATGGGTGTCCTTGGTTTGTTTTTTCTGTGTGGATCACACTTTTTCCAGTGCGCCTTCACCAATGGACAGTGCCAGAAGATATGCATCTTGAGGGTCAATACACAAGGTCTAACAAGAATACTATTGCAGTTGGCACTCCAGAGCCTGTGGAGTGCCATGAAAATGCACCTGCCACAGCATGAAACAGAACAAGACTGGTAAGCATTGATGAGATTCTTCTGGCCAGCAGGAGGGTGATCTGCCATCATATCTTGGCACATCCATGGCATTTTATTGCCTCCTTGTGGAGACCTGTTAAACTCAATCTCACTCATCGATACTTATCCTTTCCCCTGGGGACAGAATACTTGGAAAATCAAAGCTAACCTTCTTCTGGGAGGGAGAACCGTCCCCTGGGAACATGCCTGAATTTTCACAGGAGAGTGGGGTGATGACAAGAAATGAGTCATCAGTCTCAGGTCAGCAAAAGTACTCAGCGTGGAAAAGCCGACAGGTTCTCTCTGTGGCAGCAGCAAACAGGACAGAGTTCAGTTCAGCAGGTTCAAACTGAGTGCCTAAAGCAGCAGTGCTCAGTGCTGGCTATACAACCCAACACAGTCTGCTCCTCTCTTCTGCCTTCTAGCCCACCCCCTGGAAGAGATGTCAACAGCTGTGACAATGGTTAATAAGGAAGAGGAGAGAATTGAAAAGTGTGGTGAATGATAAACTTGAGAGTAAGTCTTGTGAGTCCTGGGAAGAGCCTGTTGGGGCACCTGTGGGCTTTGCAGAGATACGTGTGTTTTGGACCCCATCACAATCCTTGTGCTGCGAGATGTCTGCTCACATGGAGGAGTGGTCACTATGTCTAAATCACAGAGGAATAGAAAGAGAATGGAAATTCATTTGCTTTCTAGTTTCTACTATGTGCTGGTGACTTTCTTATGGTCTTTATATGCATTTTTGTTTGTTTGTTTAATCCCTACAACCGCTTATGGGAAGTAAAAATACTATGTCTGACACATGGCTGTCGCTCCGAGTGTCGGCTTCCCTGGCTGGAATTAATGGCACGCTTTTGTGCATATAATGGCATACGGGCTATAAGGTTTTAAGTAAATACACTTGTGATAAACACTAGTGATCCCAAAGTTCTTTTGAAAACCCACACAGAATTTAAAATGAATATACCTGTAAATTCAGTCTAAGCTGCCTCCGATTTTCATATCATTCTATGAGCTACAGAGGTTTAGGACTTGTCAGAGAGCCATGCCTAGAGTTTTCAAATATAGTTGCTGTTTTCCAAGAAAATACATATTATATATAAGGATTCATTTGGTTTTGACTTGCATGAGGAAGAACCATGAGCAGACATGAATGTAAAAGGTAGAACACACAGAAACCTATTCTGTAGACAATCAAAAGCAACACTGTAACTAACAGTCATTATACGAGAAGCCCTGCTTCCAAATTATCCAGCATCCATATTACCTAGCCTTTTTTTTTTTTTTTTAGTAAATACTGATAATTCCTATGATACTCTACCTTGGTACCCAAGCATTCCATCCTATGGAAATATCACCTTTGATCAAATGTGACACACACAGCAGCCATATAAGTGAGGTAGTTTTCTTCATAGTAAGACACTTACATGTTCATCTATACAGGAACATGCTTCCTTGAGGGCTTTTTCCAGTACTTCCTTAAGATTTTTTTTTTAATCTTCTTATCAAAGTAACCAGTGACACACAAAAATGGGCGAGAGAGAGTTTGTTTCATGGTAAATGGAGAAGCCAAGGGAATAGAAGCAAGCCATTGTAGTTTTCTGCTCCAAGAGATTAGGCCCCTGTAGCTTGCAGGCCTCCCCGGAGCACAGCTTGTGGTGGAACCAGGCGGCACTGAGCCCTCCATCATTAACTGTAGGCTTACCCTATGGCGTGTCTCTCCAGCAGTCTCTGAACAGGCATCGACAGCTTTCCCAAGAAGCGTTTGATGATAGGGCGACTCTTGGCAAACTTATCCTTCACCTCAATTTCTAGCACATCAGTGGGCAAGGACACAAAACTGAATTGCTGCAATGAAAGAATATGTCACATCAATTAACTGAGAAGTTCCAGGGCTGACCAATTCCCTGCCCATCTGCCTCAATGTTGTTGTAAAACTCCCAGTCGCAATCCATGTGTTTCAAGGTCTTAGATTTCAAGGCCATGTGTGAGCCGTGTTCATTCAGTGCACAACGGGTGAGGATGAGATGGCCCTCAGGGCTACAAAATAGAGCAATAAACATCATACATTCGATAGAAAGACTGTCATCCAGACCTCACCAAAACTGACTGGAAGAAAAAGACGTATTTAGAGCAAGAACCAATTCACCTAAAATTAAGGACATGTACTTTAAAACAAAAATGTATTTGGTCATGACCATAGTGGCAGAGATTATTAAAAGTTTGATACTAAAATCTTGAGAGTAAAAAGAGATACAAATCTTCACACCATATCGGTGTGAGATGCAAACTAAGTTAATCAATCTGTAGGAAAGGAATTGTCCATATCTATTAGCATTTAAGTGGCAAATTCCCCTCAGCCCACAATTCTAGGAATCTTCTGGATTAGCTTGCACAATGACCAAAAGATGTATTTCATAAGAACACGCACTGTAGCTTTATTAACAGTAGGAAAAAAAAAAGCAAAACAAAGCCATCTGTCAATAAATTTAAGAGTGATAGATCTTTCAAATGCAGAATTCTGCCATCATTAAAGCATTAAAAGAAGCAGGTAAGTCAATATGTAGTGACATGAGAAGATACTTGGCAAAGTTAGTGGAAAAGCAAAACCCAGAAAAATGTGAAGAATGTTTAGTTCATACTCCAGATTACAAGGCAGATGTGCACAGAGATTCATCCCAAACTCTGAATTCCAAGGAGTGGGCTTTCTACATTTTATTTCCTTTGCTCAACAGTGTGAGATATGACTTACAATAAAAGCAACAGCAATGAAAGGTACACTGTAAGCATCAGAAGTTAACTTGGTCAATATAAGTGCTGAAAGGAAAATAAAGAGGGGCAAACATTGGCATTGACCAGAATGTAGGGGGGGAAGAAGTCTGTTAACATTTAGTGTTACAATATCTTAATAGACTGTGAACAGCTGAAGCATATAACAATTATGCTTTATTTTGATTAATTTCTGACTATACTCTTAACTTTTGGTGATTTCTATATACAGAGGTCAAATATGTCAGATGTGATAATGTGGGTATATCAGTGGCAGTCAGCATGAGCTAGGGCAGGTTGTAGTAAAAGCCAATTTCCAAGTCCCAGCGACTTTAAGATAGACTGCACTTTCTGCTCACTCTCTTACTGTGGGCAGAGGACGCAGCCATGGACCAGCACCAGCCACAGGGACAGGGCCATAGAAAGGTCCTGAGGTGCTCCTCTTGTTCCAAACACAAGTTATCATCAAATCTAGATCCGTGCCCCAGCCAGACACCAGATCAGCAAATGCAGTCCAACAGGATCTCCATCTGGGAGGTAAGTGGCAGAAGTATTTAGTAAGTAGCACTAGGGATAGCCGTGATTCCCATGTGAGACTTCTAATTTCAATGAAGAATTAGATTTCACTAACTCTTATACAACTCCTAAGAACCAATCATTGCTGGTGCTGACAAAACCGAATCTTGTAGCCAATTCATATATAAACTCAGGTCATTAATTTGCATTTTTCCTTCCTTTCCACTTTAGCCACACCCCATGAGTTTAGACATAAATTTATTATTATTTAGTTCACAATATTTTCTAATTTTCTTGTGATTTTTTTGTTTGCTGCTTTTAGGAGAGATTCTGCTTAAATGTCCAAGGAGTTGGATTTTTAAAAGATTCTTTTAATCACTGACATTCACTTCCTTAAGATGAAAAATACATTAAACAGTCTATAAAATTTATTTCTTATAACCTCAATACTAAGCCATGCATAGGTCTGGTTTTGTTTTCACTGGAGCAGGATTATTTTAATTAACCTGGGGCTGCCTGTGTAGTCTGGGCTATCCTGAGGCTTTCTATGCTGATTTGCCCCAATCCTACACTGTGTCCAGGCCAAGGATATGAGAACCTTGAGCTTTGCTAAGGTACCTCCCTCGTGGGGGGATCCAGAACTGCAAGTTAAATCTCTTCCTTATTGTCAAGTTGAAGCCAACTCCTCTTTCATCTGCCTTACAACCACCTTCTTACCTCTGATTAAAAGCCATTGCAGAGTCGAATCACTTGAAATTCTTTTCTATCATCACAAATGCTTTTTATTGTGTAAGCTTTTATTTATTAAAGAGAGAATTTTTTATTTATTAATGAGAGAGCACTGGAGCTCTTATCTGCTGACTCATTCCCAAATGCCCACAATGACCAGGGCAAACCCAGGTCTCAATTTATGTCTCCTACTGGGTGGCAGGCACTCAACCATTTGAGTCATGACCTCTCAAGGTCTGTGTTTGCCAAAAGCTAGAACCATGAACAGAGACAGGACTTGAATCGAGGTACTTTGACATGACACGTAGGCATCTTAACTGTAAGGCCAACTGTCTATCCTACAAACGCTTTGTGTTTTTGTGTTGCATCCAACTTCCTAGTTGCTTTTGAGTAAGTGTGCCATGTGCTACTCCATCAGAGCCAAAAGCAGAAATCAACTCCTTCCATTCTTGATCATCCATCCCACACATAATGGTAGGAAGGTTTTTTTTATAAAATTTTAATCAGAACATGCTGCTCCCCTACTAAAAATATGTCAATGACTTCTTATCACACTCAGAATAAAATACCAATCATAAGCCATAAATGGCTCCCAAGATGCTGGCACATGTCTCTCTTCGTGTTCACCCAACTCCACTCCCTCCCGCACTATTCTCTAGCACAATAACATTCCAGCTTGCTTAAACACGCCAAGCTCACTGCACTCAGCCTGCCAGACTAGTTGCATCCACTGTCTGAAATGCAGATTGATTCAGACTTCTGTGTGTCTGTCTAATTTCTCAGTGCTTGGGACAGCAACAGAAAAGCCTTCCAGGACCACCGCTTTGCAAGGCAGCCTGTCTCAGTCATGCAGAGCTTGTAACTGGGTGATATTTTCTTCACATCATTTTGTCTGCTATTAAAAGTCTCTTGTTAAATTACTTTTTGTTTCAATTTGTGTTCTCACATTAGAAATATAAGCCCTAGGAGCAAGGCCTTGTCTGTATAACCTTCTAATCTTGGGACAAGACTGCTGCATGTTGATGGCGCATGCATGGGAATTAATTCGCCCAGCTTTGGAAGGCGGAGGCAGAGACAATGAGGTGAGGGCTAACAAACACCATGACCTCAGGCTAGAGTGGAATATTTGCTCAATATTGCTGAGAACCGTTTTCAGGATGTCCTTGTTTTATTTAGGGCTCTAAATATATTCCCTCTATGAGCCCGTTGAAAGTATTTCCCTAGGCTCTTAAGTTGCTGCTGTTTCTGTTTAACTTCTCTGGGTAACTATAATCTCATAAGTGCTCATTATATCCATCTAGGAAAACAACCAGACGTGAAAATCAAGGAGAATGTTCCCTGGGTGAAAATAGTCTCTAATTACAGTAATAATAAAGAAGAGGAGATTCATCAATCAACATGGAAGTCTCTTAGTCTCTTGTTTATTTTAGTTTGCATGACATTTACTATGTATTTCTTCTAATTTTTCCCTTCTCATTAGAAAATTCTGAAAAAAAATTTAATCTTGCTAAAATTTTACATGTGTTAATCAGCAAGAAAATGTGTTTCAAGTTTAAACTTACATAAATTCAGAAAAAAATGCAAGATTTTAATGAAACAGTAACTGTAGAAGCCAATTTGACATTTTAACTATATATTAAAGGGTATTTTCATTGTCAATGGCAGGCAACTTCGATGATTTTTCACTGAATATGCTTTGCATGTTAGTTGTAAACATGGAAAATCTTTTTCAATATAAGTGTCTTCGAAAAGTTCATAGAAGTATGTACATATAATTAGAAAGTAATGTGTGAATTCAAAAATATTTTATACCAAAGTAAACTTACTTATTCATTTCAGTTTCCTGTAAACTTTTTGAAGTATCCTTCTGGACAGCTAAAGACCTCACTGATTCCTGCAGCAGCAGATCTCACCGCCTCACTCTCGAAGGTGAGATGTGTGTGATTCAGAAGTCAACACTGGCTTTAGGGGTCAGGAATAAAGGCTGGCCGTGCACAAATGCAAGAAGCTCAGCTGTGGTCACCTGTCTGTGCACAGCACCAGCTCCGATCACATGACACTTTCCAATGGACTTTAGATGTTTGTAGGATGCCATGGTGCCCGGCACATGTTGTGCCTTCTGCCCATGAGCCCCTCTCACCTTGAAGAATATCTCTTTCCCTGCCCAGACCACGCCTTGCAGTTCAGCCCCCGTGATGTCTTCTCTCGGGCTCTCTGTGCTCTCTGCCTTCTCTTCTGTTGCACCTTGTTCATATCTTGATCGGACCATTTACTTCATTCTATTTCCTCCTTCCCCTAAACTGAGATCTTCCTGTCAGGTATGTGTTCTTCTAGTGGTTTCCATTTCTACTACAGACACAGGTTCTCAACAAAGATTTCTTCAGAAAGAGTGACTGGTCATGATAATGTAGAGTATCTGTTATAAGCTCTGAGTAGTCTTCAAGAATTTATTCATAACTACCAGCAAACAAAATTGGACACTAACAGGCTCCAAAGGCAAACTATCTGGTTCGATCCCCGGCTTTGCCACTTATGAGTTATGTCACCTTGAGAGGATTACTTAACTTCTCTGTAACTTGGTTTCCTTGCTTAAAATAAGGAGTATCACATACACCTCCTAGGGTTATTATCAGGATTAAATGAGTTACCTAAAAATGTCTAGAACACTGCTTGACATAGTAAGCAGATATCACGGACACGGAAATACTAGGATGAATTAAGCATGATTCCCTTTCCTCAAGGAGTTCAAAGTTGTGCAGGAAATCCAAAGGTGCCAATAAAAGGCAGCCTATGATCCCATGACACAGTCTGCATTAGGAAGCAGGGCCTCATACCAGAAGTGATATTTTAGCCCATGCTTCCTGGAGCAGTGGGAATTTGTTGGTGGGTTACTTTGGGATTGACTACCCAAAGGCATCTGGGGACAGCACTGCAGAAGAGGCCTTAGGTGAAAGGCAGTGAGGAATGAGCCTAAGGAAGTCTCAGACGTGGTAAACTGGTTTCTTCAACAACTGTGTTTGACCACCTTCTCCCCACCTTCCCTTGTCGGAGTCAGGAGAGGAAGACACCAGCTTTCCTCTTCCAGCTGAGGTCATGTGCCAGGAACAGGAATTTTCCGAAAGGAATTCTCTTCTAGTAGGATAATGCAAAGACCTGCAAGAAAACACTTGGCCGCTCTTTTTTTTTTTCTTGTTTGGAATTTGGGCCTAGTACTTCAAACCCAAAGGCATTAAGGATGAAGTTAACTGCTTGAGATTGTGCAATGGGCACACCCAGAGAGTTGGGGTCCCTTGCCAGCTTCCTCCCGAGCTGCACTGACTGTACCACCTCCCTCCAGATTCCAATCCTAGCTGACCATTTCCCCCAGCTTGGAGCAAAATGCATCCCTAGCTGGCCTACTGGCAAGCAGGGACTTGCACACTATGCAGAGCAACCTGACTTCAACATTTGGGCACAAGCAACTGTGATATAATTTAGGGGATGAGAATACAGTTTTGTCCACACATCAAGGGGATTCTAGTGGACATCTAGTGAATTCTAGTTAACACTTCAACCAAACATTTCTGGTGGTACTGGATTTTACAGACATTCTCTATCAACAAGAGATAAAGAAAAAGCTTTGCCCCCAAATACCTAGGTACATTTTCTTGCTAGAGAGTAAAGTTGCATGCCAGGAATGATTTATGCTTGGGACATGAGCATTCAGGACAGATGGATAAAATAATCTGAGGTGCAGATGGAAAATACCTGACTTTTCAAGTTTACAAAAATACTTTGCAGCAGCTAGGGCTGGACCAGGCTAAAGGCACAAGTCTGGAACCCCATCTGGGCCTTTTACCTGCGTGATAAACACAATCAGTGAAGACCCAAGTAGATGAGTTGTCTTTGCATCTCAGGGTGGGCATCAACAGGAACCTTGGTAGGAATCCAAGGCAGGGATTGACCCCAGGCACCCTGATAGGAGAGGTGGTGTCTCAAGCAGCAGCTGAACCCATCACCTCACAAACCCTATCCCAAAGTCATGCTTTTAATACTTAGATTATGTTGCATCCAAGCTCATGCCTGATGAATCCCTGCCTCCACATTATGCAGTCTGGAAGTCTTATCTTCAAGCTAGGAAACCGAGTGGGTTGTGACAACTCGGCTTGATGGCTAGAACACTCTGTGTGTGGTTGAACCTGACACTCCGTAAAAGAAACTCCTGCTTCCACTTTTCAAAAGAGGCACAGTTAGAAGCCAAGAAGAGGCTGTATTAGACAAAGCCAAATTTGCAGTCTTCTAGCGAGCTGCCTAGCATTGTGCAAACAAGGAAAAGGGCATAAACAATTGGGCTTCATATCAGTTTCAATCAAATAATGTGACCCAATCACAAATGTTCTAGAGCTTACAGATGTGCCTGTCCCAGGAACCTGATAGTTTTAAAATCTCTAGAACTGGCCCCTAGGGCTACATGTACCCTGTGGCACTCTTGCAGAAATAGCGCACAATGAAAAGACTGTGGAGCTTCTCATCCTTCTCTTACGTGGAAGGTGAGCAGAGAAAGGTCCTTGCAAGTACAAGGTCTAACCAAGAAGAAGCTGCTGAATGCATTTGCAATAAAAAGTTTCCCTCTGGAGGGACCTGATCCAGGACTCTAAGGGGTGTGACCCATCTGGGACAGAAGAGTCACAGATTTAAGCAGCAAGTGGGGCTCTGTGAAAGAAAGGGAAAGTGCATGGCTAGTTCCACCTGCTGCGTGGGCCTCTGCTCAGGGTCCCTGGCACTCACCTCGGCCTGCCACACGGGGTTCACAGTGTTGCCCACGATCTTGGATCTCCTTTCCTGTCCGTGGTGAGGGAGGGCGGGGAAGATGCTGTGCTTCCCAGGCTGAATCGATATCTTCAGGTAAGGGTCTGGGTTGAAGAACATGCCTTTCTTCAACCCCACGGCCTGGAAATCTGTAAAACAGAGGACGCTCTCATTCACAGGGGTTTGAGGGAATTTCTACATCACATCAGGCCTTACCCAAAGCAACAAATCAATTAGAAACAAAAACTTTCTCAATGTTTAAGCTATTTTTTCACCTGATTACAGACATGAATGACACGGAACACAACAGACAGGGGTATTTCCTGCATTTTATTACACTGGATTTTGCTGAGACGTCCATGCAAAGGCAGGGCATTCCAACTGGTCACTACGCATTTTACGAGAAGACAGTTGTCCTTACTGGGTTTCTGTGTCCTCAAGCAGAACAAGAAAATGAGTGTATGGTAGGCCCGAGGGACACAGGTGACCTCACCGGGAAGAGAACCAACTGTGGGAACTCAATGGTTCTAGGTGTAAATTCCTCTACAAGGGAAAGGTAAGAAAATAAAAGGTGCTCATTTGATAAAGTGGATCTCACTGACTAAAGAAACAAAGAGCAATCAAGAGAATGTAGAGGCCATTGGTGCAGCGAGTCAAGCCATTGTCTGAGATGCTCGCATCCCATACGGCCCCCACCAGTGTCCCATATGGGCACTGGTTCAGTCCCAGCGGCTCCACTTCTGGTCCAACTTGCTGGAATGGGTCTCAGAACAGCATCAGAGGATGGCTCAAGTTCTTAGGCTCCAGCCATCCATGAGGGAGACCCACAAGAAGCTGTGGCTTCAGCCCTGTTCTGTCCTAGTCATTGTGGCCACAAGTGGATGGAAGATTCTTTCTCTCTGACTTTTAAACAAATATATACAAAGAAGAATGGGGAGAATTAGAACAAATATGGACAATGATTAGATGTCGTGGTAACGTATTTATCAGTATTGTTTTGAGTGTGTAAATTATCTCCAATGCATTTATAAGTACATTCTCACTTTGCATTTCTGATTTTTTTGAAATATAAGGGCTAAAAATATATTTCCTTGACTATTAAAGGGAGAAGACTAAGGAAATGTATTACCTCTGAGAAGTGAGAAAGCAGAAATGGATCTGAGAAGTAAAGCACTTGCATGAGTAATTTTTTTAAAAAAATATTATTATAAAGGGAAACACTTTTGAGTATTTGTAGATATAATTCCAAGAAAAACGTGTGTCCCTCTTTCCTTCCATCAATCTCCAAAATTTCATCCTTTCTTTCCTTTAATTCTTGCAATGCCATCACCTCAGTTCACTGTGCCTTATGGTCTTGAAGCTCTCCAGATAAGGTAATTCTGTCATCTACCTTGCTGATTCTCTTTGCAAATCCTAGAAAGCAAATCGATCCTTTAATACAGCAATATCTCTACTCCTGGAGTTTTCTGGGATTTTGTTCTCTGAGAAGTACAGCTTCACATTTACTTTCGGGTGAGATGCGAAGGTGGTGTTCTTTGAACCCAGGTGCATCTGAAAGTGCTTTTGCATAAAGGATAGCCCGGTGGACACACAGGTCTTGGCCTTAAACAAACTCCCCTGAAAACCCTGCAGGCTTAGCTTCATTGTTCTGTCATCCCAGCAGACACATTGAAGACTAGCATGAGCTTTTCTCTTCTTTTCTAAGTATCCTCTTTTTTAGTCTTTATTTTTTAAAGATTCTTTTTTTTTTTTTAATTGAAAAGTCAGATTAACAGAGAGAAGGAAAAACAGAAAGAAAGATCTTCCCCTCTCACTTGGTTCACTCCCCAAGTGGCCACAATGGCTGGAGTTGAGTTGATCCGAAACCAGGGGCCAGGAGAGTTTCTTCTGGGTCTCCCATGCGGGTGCAGGATTCCAAGCCTTTGTGCCATCCTCGACTGCTTTCCCAGGCCACTAGCAGGGAGCTGGATGGGAAGTGGGGTAGCTGGGATACAAACAAGTGCCCATATGGGATCCTGGCACATGTAGGGGAGGATTTTAGCCACTAGGCTACTGTGCCAGGCCCTGTAAATATCGCATCTTTTCAGCCCAAATGTTTGTTTATGGTAGTTATAAAGATTCATTTCTCATCTTTCACAGATTTGTCTCCATGTGACTTTCTCTCTATATACATTATTTTGTTTTGTTTTAGCACCTCATGGTCTTCCTTAAAGATTCAAAATGACCCTCCTGAGGAAATGCTCCTCCATTGTGGCTTCTGTCCATCATGAAATCCCCGACTCTGTCGGTGCTGTGCTGTCTCTCCGCTTCTTCTCTCCGGCCTCCGGCCTCTGTGCAGTTAGTCCTGCACCTGCGTGTTCTGCGGCGGTTCTCAGTCTACTGTAACATCGATGCCAGTTCTTGTGGCCTAGCTTGCTTTGTCAAACTTACTTTGGTTCTAACGGTTGTACTTTCTAGTGTTTATTTTAAATCTCCTCTTGAGGACAGGAGATATAATGTGTCCCACTAGTCCGGAATCCAGGAGGACCCCACCTCTCATGATCAAAAGGACTGTTAGCTGCAATTAGGTTTGGGATCTCAGGGTGGGGTTGTCACCCTCGAGCATATGGGTGGGCCCAGTGAATCCCAACGGTCCGTGCAAGAAGCAGGCAGGAAGCATGATGGGAGAAGAAAATCTCATAGCAGAAACGGATTAACGAGATGTAGCCACGAGTCCAAGAATGCTGGCGCCTCTGTTAGCTCAGAGAAGCTGGACTGACTGCAGCGGAGCCACCTGGAGGAAACAACCTCACTAAGAACTTGATTCTAACTCTAAAGAAGCTCTTTGAACTTCTCACCTCCAGATTGGTAAGAGTGTCTGTAACTACTGAATTTGTAAGAATTTACTGCAGCAGTGACAGAAGGCTAATACGTGTAACTTTCTAAGGTTTTATTTCTGTCAGCTTTAAAGAACTTCCATAATCCCTCCCATCTTAGCTTTCCACTTCACATATCCTGCACTATCTGGTGTTTTACTGAAGATTCAAGCAGATGCGTAATGAATAGTTTATGCCTCTTTGGTAGATCCGTGTGAACAGAATGCTGTCTTTTTCTCTGGAGTGTTATCTTCTTCGGCTTTTTAAAAAATAGGGCAGGATATTTGATTTATACACATTGCAAATTAAAATGTTTACTTTTAGGGGCAGTGCTGTGGTGTAGTAAGTTAAGCCTCCATCTGTAGTTCTAGGATCCTTTTTGAGTGCTAGTTCAAATCCCAGCTGCTTCACTTCTGATCCAGCTCCCAACTACGGTGCCTGAGAGAGCAACAAAAAATGACCCAAGCCCTTGCACCCCTGAGCCCACATGGGGGACCCTTAGAAGAAGCTCTATGTTCCTGCCTTTGGACCAGCTCGGCTCTGGTCACTGCAGCGATTGGGAGAGTGAACCAGCAGATACAAGATCTCTTTCTTTCTCTTTCCTACCGAATTTTCAAATAAAAATAAATAAATTCTTGTAGTTTTAGTGTTTGCCCATCTTGTCCATTTGGTCACTCAGCTGGTTTCTGTTGGACTCCTGGTCCTTGCTTTGCATAAAGAGCAGGCTAACTTTGAATCAAATTTTTAACATTCTATGGACCTGGTTTGGTTACTGCTGTGATAATGTCTTTTGTCCTAATTCGCAGCATGGAATTTATTTAGATATGTTCAGTAGTGTTTACTCCTTTTCATAGACGTGGATCATGGATGAAATACACAGACCTACGTCCAGCTGCTACAATTATACTTCCAGGGTGAGCCTAGGCTTGCTCCTTTAGTTGCCAACTGAATGTTCCCAGAATTACATTTATGGGAGTTCTTTCCTTGGAATAAGAATAGGAAGTACGGTGTGTTAAGTGATGATGGACAACGGACCAACCCCGATCATCTTTGACAGTAGGCTAGTGAGCCACGCTGCGGGAGGAATTGCCTTTTGTCTAGTGGATCTGAGCTGGCACCCACACACCAGAGGTCAAAGGGCACCGAGGCCTGGAGACTTCGGCCTTTCCCCATCTCCACCTTCACTCTAACCAGGTAGAGCTCTTGGCCTTTAGGACATGAGCTTTGATTAATGAACATTTTTCCACATAAGACTATTTTGGATTCCAGACTTGCTTTTTCAAAAAATATTTATTTTTATTTGAAAGGCAGATTTTACAGAGGGAGAAGGAAAGAGAGAGAAAGAGAAGGAGAGAGAGAGAGAGAGAGAGGTTTTCCATCTGCTGTTTCACTCCTCAAGTGGCTGCAATGGCCAGAGCTTCTCCTTTCTCCTGCGTGGGTACAGGGGCCTAAGGATTGGGGCTATCCTTCACTGCTTTCCCAGACCATAAGCAGAGAACTTGGCAGAAATGAAGCAGCCAGGACATCGTCTGTTGCTCATGTGAGCTGCTAGCACCACCTGGCAGAAGATTAGTCCACCATGCCACTGTGCTGGCCCTGGATTCCAGATTTCTAACGTTTCTGAATTTGATACTAATAATTGCTATTTCTCAATCTTTTCAGCAGGATCACAAGAACAACAAATCTAAAGTGGTCCTGGTAATAGCCTGTTTTTTTTTTTCTTCCTCCCCATTTAATTTTTCAACCTAGACAGATATGTGCTAAAATTGTCAATAGATCTTCAGATACACAGTGGCTTTCGGGGCGACTTAGTCTTTAGACAACCTCAGCTGGCCATCGTCTCTAAGGGGGATCATCCATGTTAGGTTTGTGGCTTTTGATCTCTGATTTTCACAGCTCAGCAAGTAAAGCTGGGAGTTTTCACACAGGGCTCTACAGCACCTTTGGGCTTCATGCATGCAATCAGTGAAGCCACGAGCTGTGTGCAGCGTTTTGGCCAGCTGAGGTTTTCTCTTAAATATTTACTTTTGAAATAATTTTAGATACATAGGAGAGTTCCAAAGATAGTTTACAGATTTCTCACATACTTTTTTTTCTAAAAAATATCAAATGTGTCTCATTGATGACAACTGACAGAATGATAATATGCTCGGAAAAACAAAAGCATCGATTTACTCTTTGTTGCTAAACTAAGAAACTGCTAGCTAAGTGAACAGACTGCTTGGGTTCCACTGCATGTTCTCCAGGAACATTCTCCTTGGAGCAGTGCAGTGTTGGTTTGGCCTGCCTGGCTCCTTGGGCACCTGCACAAGAGTTGGCAGCCGCTTCCCTTTTCTCTCCCCTCACTTTCCCTTTGTAAACTCAGTCCCTGTTCCGTGACCCTCAAGACCAGGCATCCTGGAAGCCGCTCCTCCTACCATCTCACAGGGCTTTCCCACCCATGATCGATGAACTCTCCAGCATCCTTGCGACATCTGGGGGACTGAGCAGGTAGTTTTTATCTTTGCTTTTCAGGTGGAGACACTGAGGGACAAGGTATTGAGGACCTTGTGAGTGACCTTGAAGCAGGTCTCGTGCATGTTGGTTTCATTCTTACCCACTCCATAAGGCTTCTGGGTAAGCAAAACATACCTGACAGGGAAAAGCTGATCAGCCTCCGACTGCCTTGACCTTGGGCGGCCTCCTCGGAGCCAATGTTCTTAAAAATCTATGGGAAGAAAATGGAAGAGAAGGCAAACAAACATTGATATAGATACTGATATTGCAACACACACAGGCTCAATCACAGTTATTTCTGCAGCCACAGGCAAACGGAAGCAGCAGTGCTGAGATCTCATTGGGCAGCTTTTGATTAAAACAAGCTTCTAGCAACTTAATGGCTTTCCCAGTAAGAGGAGATTTCTTGGTGGGAGTAAGAGGTACTTGTCTGAGAAATGATGATCAACAGGTACCATCGCAGTAATACGATAGGCATTTTGTCGCTACTTATGCAAACAATTCCATTTCACCTGCAAATTTGCAAAAAGCCTTCCTCAAGAATGGCAGGTCAATATATATTTACTGTTGTAATTATGTTTCCACTTAGCCAAGTACAAGTTTAAACTGATGTCTATTCAAGTATCATTATTATTTAAGGATTGTCAAAAAAAAAAAACAGTTTATTAGTGAGAAGCCTGGCATGACATTAAAAAGCTATGCTGAAATTGCTCTTAGTTCAGTGTCTTCCTTACAAATTTCAAAATATGTTTGTTGCACAGATTGCCGGTTTGGTAAGTATTTGTAAACTGGGTTGCTTAAACTTCTTTTTCATAGTTGTTCAATATATACTAGTGGGTTAATCAAAACATTAACTGGTATTATCTTGTAGAAAGGTTATATTCGGAAATGATTGTTTTAAATTATTTACTGACTTGAAAGGCAAAAGAACAGAGAGGAAGGATACAGGCAGGGATCTTTCATTCACTGATTCTCTATCCAAATGCCTGCAACAACCTGGATTGAGCCAGCCGGAAACCAGCAGGCTGGGACTTGATCCTGGTCTCCCCGAGGGTGGCTGGGACTCAGTTATCTGAACCATCATCTACTGCCTCCTCAGGTGCATGTAGCAAAAAGTTAGAATGGAAAGTGGAGCTGGGGCTCAAACCCAGGGATGAGAGCATGGGATGGGGACAATTTCTGCCCTGTCCCCAGAAATGATTACTTGCAGGCCTAATGATTCTTCCTAGTTGCCTTTACAAGTGTTTTATGTTTCCAGAAAATAACTATAAAAGTTAATGTTAAGCAAGTCCACTGTGTTTTTGTTATAAAAGATTATTACTGATATTGAAGAAAGCAAGATTGAAAAACTCTGTAATCTTTTGCTCAGGATCTCCGGGCATACGGTGCCGTGGGTTCTTTTCTTCCCTCTCTTACTCTTCTCGATGTTGGAAGAGTTGTGACTGGTGGCTTCCTTCTGGCAGCCAGGATTCAAGACCAAGCATCTGTCAGGCTCACAGTTTCAGGAGAGTACAGAGGATTTATTAAACCACATCCTCATGGTAGAGCAGGTGGGTAGTGAGTCTGGAAGCTTAGCAACCACTTGTTTGCATATCTGAGTGCATATTCTCTCCAGCCCAAACAGGAGGGCATCTCAAGGGTACTGGGCTGTTCAGCAGAGAGAGCCAACATGGGTGACACATACATTAGGGCTTAAAACACGTTAAAAATTCCCAATGTTCCAGTGTATAATCAGGGCATCGCTGTGGATTCTCTTCCTAGCCCTGGCTGGTGTTGTGGCACAGCAAGTCAGTGATGCTGAGAGCCGTGTCCTGCAGCAGAGCACGGGATCCACTCCCAGCTGCTCTGCCTCCTGTCCTGCTCCCTGCTCCTGCACCTGGGAAAGCAGCAGGAGATGGCCCAAGCACTGCTCACCTGAGACACCCACACGGAGCTCCTGATGCTGGAAACTTCATTTATATTTATTTCTTTTCATTGGAAAATTAAATTTACAGAGAGGACAAACTGAAAGATCTTCCCTCTCTTTATTCACTCCCTAAGTGGATACAATGGCTGCAGCTGAGTTGATCTGAAGCCAGGAGCTAGAACCTTGTTGCGGGTCTCCCAAGCAGGTGCAGGGTCCCAAAGCTTTGGGCCATCTTCCACTGCTTTCCCAGGCCACATGCAGGGAGCTGGAGCAGCCGGGATATGAACTGGCATCCATATGGTAGGTATCCTAATGTATATAAGACAAGGACTTAAGCCACTAGGCTACCAAGCTGGGCCCTGGATGATTTTTTTTTTACCTCTTCCACTGCATCTTTCAAACAAATAAAATTAGAAAAAAAAAACAAACTGGAAAATGGCCATGGGAGACTTTGCATGGTGACTGCCCACACCTCTCAAGTGCTGTACTTGCACAGGTACAAACAACTATTAAAGTCTCTGGTTCCTAATTCAAGTTTAATAACACCCACATTGATCTTGGCACGATATCCTAGTGGTTAAGTCCCTGCCTTGCATGCTCAGGATCCCATATGGGTGCCAGTTCAGGTCCCGGCAGCTCCACTTCCCATCTAGCTCCTTGCTTGTGGTCTGGGAAAGCAGTCAAGGATGGGCCAAAATTTGGGACCCTGCACCCATGTGGGAGACCTGAAAGAAGCTCCTGCTTCCTGGCTTCGGATCAGCTCAGCTCTGCTGTTATGGTTACTTGGGGTGTAAACCAGTGGATGGAAGGCGTTTCTGTCTCTATTTTTCTCTGTAAATCTGTCTTTCCAATAAAAAGAAATCTTTCTTTAAAATTACAAAAAACCTGCCTGCATACTTTTGTTTCTTTGCTCTGTATCTAAGGAGATGCATAGTAGACGGTAGCAGAGACTGACATGTCCAGATGTGGAGACACAGTGCAGTATACATCTCTGCATCCAGCCCAAACAGGTTCTTGGTGAAACTGTTGAGTATATCCTGATAGTGGGATGCTGAATGCTCTGGCATTGTGCATGCCTACAATGTCAGGAGACACTTGAATAGCAGAATGATGGACTTATGGAAATCAGCGGGAAAGAGGGGACTTGGGGAGGGGGATGGGAAATCCCAGAGCCTATAGAACTGTATCATAAAGTAGTGACTAAAAAAAAAAAACCCACATCTACTTTGTCTCCTTAGAATGTAAGTTCCTTGGGCCGGCACAAAAGCTTGTTGGTTAATCCTTCCCCTTCAAGTCCTGAGATCCCATATGGGCACCAGCTTGTGTCCCAGCTGCTCTGTTTCCCTTCCAGTTCCCTGCTTGTGGCCTGGGAAAGCAGTAGAGGATGGCCCAAAGCCTTGGGATCCTGCACCTATGTAGGAGACCTGGAAGAAGCTCCTAGCTCCTGGCTTCTGATTGGTTGAGCTTTAGTCTGTGGCCATTTGGGGAGTGAATCAGAGGATGGGAGATCTTTCTCTTTGTCTCTTTCTCTCCTTGTTTCTGTAAATTTGCCTTTCCAATAAAAAATGAATAATCCTTTAAAAAAGAATATAAGTTTGTGAAAGAAACAACAAAACTAGACCTTCACTAGACATTGGCAGAACTGTGATTAGAGTGTGTCCATTTTATATTACATTTTTAAAAGGTATAGGAATAAACTGTATTTAATGGTAGGCTAACATGAGCTTAAACATGCAATGATACCAAATGATATTGCACTTATTTCTTCTTTGTTTTATAAAACAAAAAAACAGACCTATTGTTAACACATTACAATTGTTGCTGTTCAGGATATTTGCAAAAGAGTGTTTTTCCTCTTTGATGCAATAAAAACAGGCCTACAGGTGCAGGTGTTGTGGAATAGCATGCTACAACATCCATATCTCATGTCAAATAGCCAGTTTGAGTTCTAGCTATTCTGCTTATAATCCAGCGCCCTGTTAATCTGCACCCTGGGAGGCAGCAGAAAGCAAAGTGGCTCAAATGCTGCCATCCATGGAGGGGATCGAATGTGGTTGTGGGCTCCTGGCTTTGACCTAACCAAGCCATGGCTGTTGCGGGTGTCTGGGGAGTGAACCACAAGTTGGAAGACTCCTGTCAGTTTATATCACTTCTCTTTCTCTCCCTCTCTTGCTGTGTGTGTGTGTGTGTGTGTGTGTGTGTGTGCGTGTGTGTGCATGTGTGTTTGCCTTTCAAGTAGATGAAAACACACATAAAAACATATTCACAAAGAGAAAATAAATATTTTTCAGAATCTGTTGATTCCCAGCAGGAAGACATACGTCATTTACATTCTATACAGTTGTGTCTAAATTCTTGCCTTTTTGCTAATGGCAGCATCCTTGAAACACTTGATTGATGATGGGAAAATGAAGGTAGCAGTAGTCACGACAAACATTTTCCAGGAAGTAAAAATGGGTTGGGACTGTCTTGGAACAGTTTGGCATTCCAACTCCTTTTTTGAGATGAGTTGCAGCAATATGTTTGAAGTAAACAAATCTGCTGCACTTGTAGGCAGCCCCTCTCCAGCTTGCTGACCTTGAAAATGATGTGAGGACCCAGTCAGAGCAGTTCCACCTTGCAACAGCCCAAGGCCCTCTAGGCATGTCTGGGAGACCGCTGCTCCCCCGCTTCTGACACAGGCCCTCTGCACTGGGATTGTTGCATGCCCCAGGGGTGTTCCAGCCACCTGTCACCAAGCATTTGAGATGCACACTGGCCGTATGTGTATGTTTCACACGCAAATATTTCCCCAGTTGAGCCTCTTAGGCAAGTGGTTTAACAGATTCCAAGCCTGGAATCTGTTGACAGGATGCCAAAAACTCTGTAGGGTATTGAGAGGGGAATGAAAGGCTTCTTTGGAGGGATAAGGTGGTAAACTGACAAGCGTCTTTCCACTGCCATCCTCGTTTTTCTGTAGCCATGCTGTTTGGAAAGTTCCCAGCATAAGTTTACAGCAACGGCTGTGTGTCTCCACAGATGCAAGTAAGCACTCAGTGAGGACCAACTGCTGTGTCCCTTCTTGGGAACTGGGGTTTCAGTAGCAGGAAAACTTCACAGTGCAGTGGGAAAGGCTCCCTCGGCCTCCACCCTCTCTGCTTGGTGTTCAATTCCTACCTTTCTTTTGCAAAGCATTACTGAGGCACTTTGCTAAAAATACACATTAGCATCTAATGACTCTGGCAGGCATATAGGCATGCTGACCTACTTCCGCCACCTTCCCGCCTCCCAGGACTGCTACAGATGGGCATTCTGCTTCTCAGAGA